GAATACCAAGCAGGCTAATTTGTGAAGGTATTCATCCAAAACCCAGGAAAAAGATGCAGATTGAAACCAAATAATCTGTAATTTAAGTCTAATGCAAACCAAATTAAGACAAAATTAATCAAACTAAAAACCAAGTTAAATCTAAATTGAATCAAACAAACAAAATCGAACTCACCTCCACCCGTCAAGGGAAAGTCATCCCCAGCTGCCATTGACACACTACCTCACTTTCTCTCCTCTGTCTGGTGCTATATGCTTTCGATGCTTTTGGGAATGGAGTCGTATAATTCATTATATTTTCAACTTTATTTTTGTACTGCTGCATTTATTATTGTTTAATCTATTGCTTTTGTTGCTAACATAAATTAAGATATCTTAGGTTAGTATATATTTGTTGTGCGGTTATGACAAGCAGCGAACTGCTTTATTTATTGGATAATTGAATAATCGGGTATACTAATATTCATAACTTTTTATAAACGGTTGTTTGTAGTCGTGTATGCATTTAACCGTAACCCCATGTCTATTTACTTCTTTTTTTAACAAGTTAAAAAATAAAAAAATAAATTTGTCATAATTTTCTTTTCTTGACAATTAAGCGCCGTTCTTTGTACATTTTAACAAGCATTTTTCTATTTCAATATTTTAAATCCTCATATCATTTCGGGAATTGAAATAATAATTTACTGACAATATTTTTAGCTATTATCAAAGAAAGTAAAATAATATATTTGTCAAGAATTGACCGGGGTACTAACAAAAGGCCACTCATTACTTGACCAAGTAAATTCAAATTTCATAATAGTATTTCCTTTTACAAACTCATGTATATTGGGAAGAAAATTTATGCATTTTCAACATACTTTTCCTCGATACATAAGCAAGTTTTCAATTATAACATCTAGACCAATGGTAAAATAAATCAAATTGAATTTGTTGGTTGGTTCTACTTAGGTTTTTTTACTCTGCATATGATGATTGTACTGAATTTGTTACAGTGGCTTGCAAGGTCTTAAATGCCGATATTATCGGCGAAATATGGCCGATAATATCGGTTTTTTGAGTTACCGATATTTTAATGGTTATCTAATGAGTTTTCGTCAAAATATCGCGATATTATCGATAATATTAATAATATCGCGATATTTTGGATATGTGCAAATCGAAGAAGAACGCCGGAGCTTCTACAGCTCCGACCGATTACAAACGCAAACCTTAGACTCCGATCTAATTACCAACGTGAAGAGGAAAGAGAGAGGAGTAAGTTTATACCCTTGGTTTGCCGTGAAATGGCCGAAGGTGTTCGGAAAGCTCCTCAACAGTCACGGGTTCGCCGAAGTTGGGTGAGCTTTCCCCCGACCTGATCTCGTTCCAAAATCTTGGAAAATTACGAGTATAACACTTAATAACACACACCCAAGCTTCAACTAGAACGAATAGAGTTAAACCCAAAGTTTACCTAACCGGAGAAAGTGAAGAAAACTCACCGGAGGTTTCTGGGTTTCGTCGATCTTGCAGAGACAAGAGGAAGAGAGAGAAAGACGAGGTTTTGATGGTGATGGCGTCTACGGAACGATGGTGTGGGTGCCGTGTACTAGGGTAATCACGGGAGAGAGAGTGAGAGTGATGAGAGGGTTTCGAGAGAGAAGAGAGTGTGCAGAGAAAGAAAGAAAGGGGGTCTCGGGTAGGGGACATAAAACAAAAAAGTTCTTCCCCAAAAAAAATTGTCTCCTTTCTTTGGAAAGGTTCTTCCCCAATAAAAAAAATAAAAATAAAAAAAATACACCAAGTGGATTCGAACCCCACCCTTTGTCAACCACGCACCTGAGTTTTATCCAACTCATTATAGATGTGTTTATGATTACATATTCAGCTTGTAATATTTATATGGTCGTTAAGATGTCTGCAAGGCTTGCAAGCTAATATTTATTATTTAGGATAAATTTCTATATTTAAAAAAACACCAAGGATTTCTATATTTAAAAAAACACCAAAGGGGTTCGAACCTCTCCCATTTTACTCCTTCAACACCTTGACCACCATATCACTTATGTTTTTTGTAAAAATATGCTAAAATACACTTACTCTACACATAGAGATGACGAAGATAGTGAAAATTTTGAACCTCATAGGAGCTCTATGTGGTACTAAGTCACTCATGTATCTTACCATACAATGTATAAAGTGTAAAATATTGTACTAATTCATTATATATAAATGATTATGGTGTGTTTAAACTTCTTTCATTAATTACTACATATTTTCTACACTCACAATGTTTGCCAGCTCGCTAAATAATCAACTTAAATCAGTTAAATCTATCATGCAATGCATTTCCTTCCAATTTTTTTGTGATAAACTAATAGATAATTGACTAAATAAACATCTTACAAAGTTTCAATAAAAATTTCCAAGTTTTTCTTACAATTTCCATGGTTTCCATATTATTTTTATCGATAATATCTCGATATTTCCATCGATATTTTCGTGTTTTTAGACTACCGATATTTCCGATATTATCGATATTTTATACCTTGATGGCTTGAATGGCGCGAGACTGAGGAGGGTTTGGCTTTTTTTTTTAATACAAAAATTTAACAAAAGAAAGATATTTTATTAATTATATATTTTTTATTTGTTTTGCCACGTGGCACAAGCTGACAGCCATATCAATAAAATTGTAGAGCCCACCACTACCACATCATCACTTAACAACTAATTTAACAAAATTTTTATCGGTTATATGAAATTAAAATAAAATAATAACTTAATGTATGAGATTGAAATGTTTTAAAGATGTTATATAAGGTTGCAATTACATCCAAACCTGAGGGAGTAAAATGTAATTTACCCATAAATATACTAATACACTTCGTTTTCTCTTCAATATCAGTGATGAATGCATTTCGTTTGCACCTTTCTTGATATGGTAATGTTAGGGAGATTAAATTTGTAAACTAAATTTTGGAAACTAAAGGATATAAAAGTTGATGATTGATTTATTACTTAAACATTTATAAACGTACTCATTTCTATTAGTGACACATCATTTAATTTATAAATTTAGTTTCTGAATTTAGTCTCTCTAACAATACCCTTCTTAATAATAGTTCCCACTTTTCCTTTAATATATTTGAAAGTGCTGCTGATTTTGCTTTTGCATTTATTTTGTTAGGAATTGATATTGGGAGGTGGTACATGGACGTTGGGATTGGGTTTCAAGTCTCTGAGGGAAAGAATGAGATGGGTTTTTGATAACAGGATTAGAGCATCTTCGAGGGAGATGTTAAAATTCTAGGTGGAATGTCAATGTACATATTTAACATTAAAAGTCTTTCTAAATGAAATGTTATTTGCTGATTGGATTTTAAGGCTTAACGATTTGATGTCAAATTTATTTTTAATTCATTTTAATAGTGGATCCCTTTTTCTACTAACATTTCAATCAATAAAAATTTTGTTTCAACATTTTTTTAATAATTACAATCATTTAAAGCTCTATTTAAATAATAAAATAATATTTAACAGTTCGGTTGGAGAAGTACAAAATTTGACATAAGGCTTCAGATTATCACATCAACCATCAATTGTAATTTGACTCTTATAATTTGACATTTCCTTTGAAGATGGTCTCAGCAGGAGAAGGTAGACAAGAAACCAGTATATTGGATGCACAATATCAGCGATGAACACTTTTCCTTTTCTTCCTTTAGAAAAGAAATTGAAAGAGCTGCTGGTTTTGAACGTGCTTAAATGCAAGATTATTTGCAAAATTATGTTAAGAATTGTTTAAAGTTTGGATTTTTATTCCATAAAAATTGTGAGAGGAAGGATATAATGATAGACAAAATACCATGTTCACCAAGTTTGGATGATTTAAATTATAGAATTATTTTGTTGAAAGCACAATTAACGGTTTCAAATACCGCAGCAGAGCGGGGACATTCTTGCTAGTAACATTTAGACCAAGAGTAAAATAAATCAAACTGAATTTGTTGGTTGGTTCTACTTAAGTCTACTTAAGTTTTTTTATCCTGCATATATTGATAGTACTGAATGTGTTGCAGTGGCTTGAATTTTTAAAATGATCGGTTTGCATTATTTAAAATTGAAACCCACTGGTCTGTCATTCGTTTAGATCTTCTATAATGAATGACTTCTGTATCAGGTGCTACTAACAATGGAATCACATAAAACTCAACATGAGCCATCACCTACTGCTGCAACCCTAGCCGCCACTTCATGTTAAAAGAAGAACGAGCATGATAGGATTAGACATGAAAGGGAAATTGCAAAAAAGTAAATGCAAAAAATGGAAAATAAATCAAAGTAAATTCATATCTTCATTCATAATCGTCTTTATATAAGAAAAATAGTTTAAATACATCCAATGATAGTAGGGTTTGAGATGTAAATGGGTCTAATGATATTATCTATATAATGGGTCTAATGGATAGGTGGTCCAACTAGTCATAATAAAAGCACAATAGCGAAGAGTCGCATCGAGCAAGCCACTTTCTTGGAGGATTTAAAGAATCACATTGATGATTTTGTCAATGCATCTATGGGTTTTTTTTTTTTTTTTTTTTGAACAAACGATATAATCTACACTAAAAAGAAAATGATGAGCTTAGCCTCACAATGGGCTAGCAATAATTTGGTTCGAATTCGCCTTTAGCAAGAATCAAACCTAAAACCTCTTACTTACAAGTGAAGAGGAATACCAATATACCATAGTACTAAGTGACTCAATGCATCTATAATTAAACATAAAACATGCTTCAAGAAGACCATGCAGAAGGTTCGTTCCCCCTTCACATTTAATGCTTATACAGCTTGTTTGCAAATGTTTTCATTGTTGAATCGGTTTGCTTCTAATTTTGATTGAGAAATTGTGCATTCGTTTTTAGTTGTTTAGAATGTCAAAGATTGTTGTTGAGATGAGCAATGATACCAAGGAAGTTGGAGCGAATTGCATTTGTAAAATAACAAAACAAGAATTTTTCTGCAGCAAATAAAATTATTCCTCTCTTGAGATATTTTTATTTAGATTTATCAATGTTATACTAACATACATTTAGTAGCTCAAATTTATTTACTGCTGGAAAGTTGATTTCTAATTATGCAACAGCGCACGGGCATTACAACTTAGTGTAGCTCTAAAACTTCAACTTTGTAAGTGAAGGAGGCTTCCTAATCTTAGTTGCTTGCTCAAAGCCATATGCCATTTCAATTAGCTTTGGCTCCCAACCCCTCAGCCCCCCAAAGGAAAGGCCAACTGGTACCCCATCATCATATCCTGCTGGGACAACCACACCCGGGGAGCCGCTAATCGCTAGCAACGGCGACACTTGTGCAAGAGGAGCCACCACGGCATCTAGCTTGTTCTTCGTCACTAAATTCACGTAGTCATCCTTCGCAAATCTTGCCAAATTTAACAATGCTGCCTTCTCTGCACTTCCTATTCCATTTGTTGCTTCAGCTTCTAAAAATAGGCCTTGGCCATACTCCTTCACCTTCTCCTGCATTCCAAGTAATCAAAATCGTTTTAGTTTCCACAGCCTACTTATTCAGAACGAAGACCGTAGTTTGGGAAGAACATCAGTTTGCACCTATGTACTCACCAATTTAGCGTTTTTATTGTTAAAGGCTATCAAATCCGCCAAGGATCGGACTGGCGAAGCCACCAACTCCTTAAGGTATGTGTTTATATATATTTTGAACTCAGCTGACAGTGCAGTAGTTTCACTACTTCCATCGGAATAGATTTCATCAAAATGTGGTATTTTCAAATTGTCCACCAAAACAGCACCACCTTTCCTAAATTTAATTTTCCAACAACTTAATTAGTATTTCATAAGAATAGATACATGTCTCCGATTGAGACTAATCTATGATTTTTTTTGTTACCTCAGCGTGTTGAAGTGTTTTTCATAAATTGGAGTCGACGAAGTTTGGCCGGAGATGTTAAATAAGGCTCTCACTATCCCTATTCGCTTTCCTCTAAGCCCATCACGCCTGAGGAACTGTGCGTAGCCACCCTTGGGAATGTACCTCGATGCCTTAGTCGTTGCAACATCGTTCTGGTCGATGCCTGCAATGACATCAAGAACATAAGCAGCATCTGATACTGTCCTACAAATTGGCCTGTTCAACCCAACACCAACAAACAAAGAGAGAAAAAATAGTAAATAAGACTAAAATTTATCCAAAACTAAGTTTACGCAAGAGCGTCCTCTATATTGTGTAGAAATTACGTAAATTGATCACCACTTACCCAACTGTGTCCTGTCTTAGGGAGATTGGGACTACCCCTGCTCGACTAGTAAGACCGTTTGTTGGTTTGATGCCCACGACTGAGTTATAACTGGATGGACATAAAATTGATCCATCTGTTTCAGTCCCGAGTGTCACTGTTGCCAGATTTGCTGCCGCTGATATTGCTGAACCGCTACTTGAGCCGCAAGGTGTTGCAAGAGAATTGTAAGGGTTCTGCATTCCACCTAACAAGCTTAGTCTGTTGATTTTTTTTTCTGCCTTGTTCAGTCTAAACTATAGAAATGTTATCTTAGGAGACAGTCTGTCAAGCTATATTGTCAGTCTGCAAAACTAATCAGGTTTACTATTATTTGAATGTAAGTTTTAGCTCGACAGTTTCACAGCATAACATATTAAATATTCGGCGATTAAACATTGATTAATCATACAAGTGATAGTGAAGGGTATTTTATATATACGTAGGAGGGAACTAAATTTAATGATCCTCTACTCACCACCCCTTGGCCACCTCTGGCACTCCAACCGGAAGGTGCACCGTTGGACCTCCAATGGGACCACTCACTCAGGCTGGCCTTTCCCAGTATAATAGCCCCGGCATTCCTCAGCTTGGTGACAACACCCGCATCACGAGGAACAACCGAGCCAAGCAGAGCATACGAGCCAGCTGTGGTGTTCAACTTGTCCTTGGTAGCAATGTTGTCCTTGACCAGAATAGGAATCCCATGTAACTTAGAGTGTGACGCGGACGGCGCCTTAGTCTTGCGTTCATAATCCGCCTTGTCAGCCAAGTAAAGCGCGTCCGGGTTCACTTCTATGACCGCCCTAAGGAAAGGGTTGAGTCTTTTGATTTCTCCAAGGTAGAACTGGACAAGTTGCCTTGAGGTGAGTAGGTTGTGCTTGAAAGCGAGTTGGAGATCGTCAATGGTGGCTTCCCTGATCGAGAATTTCCGGCCCGCCGTTGTCCGAGTCCCAAGCGACAATGTAAACAGAAAAACCAGAAGTAAGGATGAGAAGTGATGGAGGTTTGGTTTCTCCATGGAAGCAGTATTAGTGGAGCCTCTGCAACTCCAAACTTGGTGTAAACAAATTTATAGGATCCGAAAGTAGAAAAGTATCACAAACAGCTATGAAATAGTGTGAACAGAAAAAAATCTGCCCACTGCTTCCACCAATTCCAGCACCATTATTGCTGTTGGTACTGTGACCACAAGGACCAGCATCACTACAATTTGCCGGGCACGTTTAAAAAGATACTTTGAGACCCCGTTTGGTGGACAGAATGGAATGAGTTGTTTCTAATTAAATTGGACATGTAATCCAGTCAATGTTTGGTGAGAAAAATTGTAACACGGATTAGATTGACTACGAATTCAAAATAAGAGAAATATGATGGGTTATGTAACCCAACCATACACATGAGTTATGTAATCCATCCCTACCACTCCAAACTTATCTCTATAATTCAATCTCATCCAGCTCACTAAACAAGCCCTCGTTATCTTATCTCTTTGATGGTTGCCTTAGAAAATATGTGAAAGCAACATAATATCTTGAGATATATAGATAAGGTTGCATAGTGTGAAACCAGGTTGAAGCATAGTGGGTCGAAATAATTGTTCCTTTGTTTCGTACATGTAGGAAGAAATCGCATCAATATTTCTGTCACTTTTTTCACGATGATTATGCAGAATATGGTTAATGGTGGTGAAATTTTTTTAATTTTTTGTCTTTTGCTTGCACATTGTATCAATCATGTGTATCACATTGTTGACGTTGATGTGGAGATGATTACATTTTATTATCAATTAATTTTGAGTTTGACGTTCTAATTCTAAATAAGACTTTAAGTGGGCAAGTTGATAATCTCGAGACATCATTGTCACCGATTTGTGACTGGGGCCGCTTCATTTGATTGAAACCCAAGTGTGATGCCTTACTGTTACTATCGACTTATCAATAATGCCTCACTACTACAGTGTAGAGTCATCCTTTGTTTCTTTGAAGATAATGCATGTGAACTTGCAAAACTCAGTAGCCATCCTAAACTTCCCCAGCCACCAACCACCCGCAAACTCCCACTCAACCTCCGTCACGAGGTTCCATGAAAGTACACTGATGGAGCTGCCATGGATCACCACTAGAAAACCCAAAGTTAAATGTGGGGCTTTATCTAGTGCACATAAAAAATGTACATTTAAGTTGCATATCTAAATAAGAGTAGTTAGATAAAAATTAAGTAAGCCACGAGCATTAATTTGTCTTTTACCTGTTGACACATGTACCTCAAGAGTTACCAAGCACCCATGAGTTTAGGTCAAGGAATGGATCATCCACGATCCATCGGACCTAGCCCAACCCAAAGGCCGTTGGGCACTGCCCGAGCCTAGCTGAGCTCAATGATGAATCCTACTTGGTACGTAGTAATTTGTTATGTTTTACCCTCTGCATTGAAGTGTTGGCTCATTCTTGTAAGTATGAATATAATCTTCAAATTGGTAAGATGTGGATGAAATACAACTCAACACAAAAAATATAGACGAAGATGAACTATTGTTCAAATAAAATACATAAAAATGTGTGGTACATATTATACTACGCAAGAGCTTATAGCTTCAATGGCAGAGCACTTTAACTCTATACTCATAATAATTAGAGTTCGACTCTCGGCCTCCTCCTCTCTAAAATGAAAAATACATAATTGTAGCCTAAGATAAACATAGAAGCAAGCTTAAACACAAATCACTTGCAAGCAGTAAATTTGCAAGGGACTTTCCCATAACCTGAATTAGCCCTAATGAACCTCAATCCTTTAAGGAGGACATTTCTGTTGGAGCCCATCAAGGCCCAATTCAAATGCTGAACCACAGCAATTGAATTGTAAGGAAATTGAAGGCTGCTGTAGGAGTTGAGAAATGCAGTGATCCCTTCCCTTAGGAGTGTCCTATAAGGGTCTCCTCTTCCCTGTAGGCCTTGCCACAATGTGAGGTCAGTCCCATATCTCCTAGCCACCACCGGTCCAAAAATAACGGCTACCTTCGTGTTCGGGTTCACTGCCCTCCAGTAGCATTTGTGCTCTGGTAGTGTCCACTGTCTGAGAATCACAATCCGATCACACAGTCAGCAAAAGAGGCTTGCCAACTAGGAACACATTTCTTCTTGCTAATAGAAAGGGAAGGCATGTTCGAACTTGGAATTCGTTTGAAAAAAGAAATATCACTATATCAAGAGTTAGTTGTCAACTTGTCATGAAACAATCATGTATACACTAATACGGAGAAACAAATCTTAATTTTTTGTAGTGAATTAGTTGTGCTAAACAGCCCTAAACCCTAATGCATTTCAGTCTAGTACAACTTGGTAAATTCATATTTGGCTCATCCCTATGGTGAAAGTCATTCTTACTTGATTGCCAATCACAGTTTACACTTGAGTGTAAACTTTTTTTTTATAGATATTCTACAATGTGTCAAATCGTGATTTGCGAAAGAATGAATGACACAATCCAACACGAACGCGATTTGCTTAATGAATAGCTTACTGATGTGGGCATGCTGTAGCTTCCAAGAAGGGCATTGGCGGCATTGGAGGCAACGAGGGCAGTGGTGGCAGTGGCGGCAATCAAGGCATTGGGGGGGGGAGCCTAAAAGGCGGAGGGCTTGCCGGCGTCACTGGTTTAGGCAGAGGGTTAACCAGCGTTACCGGTGCAGGCACAGGATTAGATGACTTGGGGCAAAATGACATGGGCTGAGCAGGCTGAGTGAGCAAAGAGTCCACAACATACATCCCCATGTCAAACATTCTAAACACAAGTCTAAGATTTTGAGCAGGACCAGCACTAACCACACAGCCACTCCCTGTGCTTGAAGAAATCTGAGCATAACAGCCGCTCAAATCTGGTGTCCCATCAAACCCGATGGCATAGTTTCCAAACCAATTTGTAGTCTCTTCCCTTGACATTGTGATCTGCCCATTACTGTCACTACATGCCACTTGTACTTTAACTCCTACAAAAATCAAAGCATATAAGTTCAGCATTAAGAGTCTAAGTAGAGAATGTGATTCAAAAATTCTACTATGCTAGTGTATAGCAGATCATACTAACAAATCTACAACAGCGGATGTCTTACTTTCTTTCGGCTTCAATCGCCGAAAATAAATTAAAAAGGAGAATGTAGTATTGGGAATTACAGAGTAGGGAACTCACCGTAGATGGGGTAATCAAAGAGGGATCTGTCACCATCTTTGCATTGGTCACAGAAGACAGTGCCACTCACCATTGTATTTGCCTGAGCTGCATCAATGGCCTACAAACAAAACCAGAATTGCTACAAGAAAGAATTTCTCCGGCCAATCCATGAGAGAGAGAGAGAGAGAGTGAAGAACTAGGAGTGAAAGCAATGCTTATATGCCAACTCTCAACTGCCAATATTTATGGTGAGGGGAAATGGAACACTATTTTTCAAACTAGGAGGGACAATTGATAGTACAGACTTGCAGAGGTACGTTTAAGGCTTGGTTCTAATAACCCCATATTCTTGGTTTCATTACAACTAATGTTTGAATCACAAGTGCCATGGACCAACAGTTAATGGCCTAAACCATCTACATCTAGAAATTAACTTAATGTGCATGAGTTGGAGATTTAATTGCAGTATTCCATGCATGAGTTTTGTCAAATAAGATGGCGGATTCAAACTTGGAACCTCTTTAAATTTTGATTGAAAGTCACAAGTGATACTTACGGTTCATGATAATTAATAAATTTAAGTACTGATTTTAAATTTACCAAATTTATGCTTACGGTTTACGGTTTACTTCCAATACTAGTTTCGATCAAATGTTTATTTTTTGTTGATTTGTATAACTTAGCATCCATGTGCAATAGTATTACAATCATTCTGTATCAAATCTATGCATGTGGATTCTAAATTATACGTAGTAATGAGACCTAAGTCTCGTTGTAAACCTAGCTAGTTACCTCCAGTTACGCAAGTCAAAAGTTGAAAACGCTTTTCATGTGAACTTCAACTGAAATTAATAGTACAAGTAAATTATAGGGTACCCTAAATTATATGAGTAAATATTGTTTTTTTTTTAACAAACAATATTATGTATACTAAGAGGAGAGGGTGAACTGAGCTTACAATGGGCTAGCAATAATGTGATTGAAACTCGCATTTTGAAAGAATCAAACCTAAAATTTCACTTACAAATGAAAAAGAATACCAATAGACTATAGTAAACATTGTTAATTTTGAGAACTGGCAAAGAAAACACTAGTCGGTGGGCCTGAGTTTTTGCTTTCTAGGCAATAAAATAAAAAGTCCATATTACCATTATTAGAGCCGTGGGTCGGTTTGCCGCCAGATGGTATCATATGAATTCCAAGCAGTTGCTGGTTGGAGGGTTTTCGTTGGCCGTCAAAGTAGCACCACACATTGATGAGATCATGAGAGAGAGAGAGAGTGATGATTTGCAAAGCCAGCCAATACACATCTGCAAAAGGTATGGCCTTTCTCTCGTGTCTGTCCATGTGATAGCTAGGGCACATGAAGAAGGTGAACTTTTTATTTTTATGTGTGGGAGACGAAAAACACCTCGTTCTTTTTTAGACAGGACGTCCGTTTCAGTGTAAAAAGAGTTAAAGAGTTTAAATTACAGTTTCTCAATGCGTCAGTCATTTAAGTAAAAAATGGACAGTTAAGAATGAATCTCACATTGATGAGAGAAGGGGTTTTGCATGAACTTATAAGTAAATTAAACTACTCACCATATGACCGATTAATTTTATAATGAAACCTCAACTTTCTTCTTCATGGACGTCCGTGCATAGAGAATCACTGCCTCAAATTTTGCTCATGGTATCAATTACATTATTATATGAACCAGATATTTTCAATATAGCAGAACAAATGCATGAACCCAGAATACATAAATGCAGTAAGCTATAACCCTCGTCCTGTATCGTTCCCTGTTCATCTCGCACCAAGCAGACATTCAGCAACATATCGATCACACAAACAGAAACCTACAAAGTTATACAACATCTCATGTCAAAGAAAAGAAGAAAGTTATAGAGAACACCTGAAAACTCTAGATTTACTTGATCACAACTTCAAAACCAAAATCTGCACACCATGCACAAGCGCTCAACAAATGTGGGAACCGGGGGAGCTTTAAGGGTCAAAAATAATAATTAGAGTAACAGTACTCAATCTTAAATACAACATACAAACAAATCCTATGAGCAAAACTAGTATAACTGTTTAAAAAGCCTACAAAAATCGTCTCAAGTTCAATGTTATAACAGTTGCAGCAGGGAACATAAATTATAGAAACTGAAAATTCAACAGCCTCATGGATCCAAGCTCTCTAGTAACCTTAAATCTTTTCCCATGCCTTACACCGAACTTGTAAAACCTCCTCCTCAATTTTCATCAACATGCTCATTCCCTGGTTCAATATGCCCGTTCTCTGACTCAACATGCTCGTTCTGTGCTTCCTCAGAGTTGCTCCTAGTCTCACTTTTATCAGCACTGCACCCAAAGAAAACAATGAGGATCAAATTTTTAACAAAATCTGAAAATAGGAACACGTAGTTAGAAGCACATGCAATCGCACAGTGACAAGTTACAAAGTTGAAACTAACGGACGAGGAATGCATGGTTGCATGAGCCTTAAACTTTAAATGATTACGTTGAAGATGGTTATATCCTTCTAGCCCAGTATTCAGAAATTAGCTTATACTAGCAACCGCAATTAGTGCGTAAAACACCTTCTTTCTTTGTGCAAACAGCAGAAGGATACACATCTACGGATCACCGCTCAACATTCAAAATATGTAATAAGGTACAAAATGAAAAAGTGCCACTAATTTAATTTTGTCTATGCACACACATGAGACGGATCATAACAAAACACCTCAGAAGTGGATTTCAATTCATCAAACCACCAAGAATTTCGTAAACACCAATCAAGAAGATAGCAGACAATGGTCAGCAGAGTAAAATTCTTTTGAAATACAGAAACATTGTCAAGAGTTCAATAAGCTTCCCTTGGACATAGATGTGTAAATGAATGCCCTACATCTCCCCCACAAGGTTTAGAGAGTTGACCAAAACTATCCCTTTATACAAAGAAAAACTGAATGACACACACACACACACAACATAAAACCAATATGCGAAGTCACTGTTCCATCAAGCAACATTTCCCAAAAGCTCATTCAAACAATTCTAACAGCAACATACAATCAAAATCAACATGCAAAAGTATAGAAAGGATCAAACTTTACAACTAAGCATCCTAACTTCGAGTATTTCAGATTCCCAATCAATCATATTACTGAAATAACCAACCTCTGGGGCCGTGAATCAGCCGAATCAGGCTTCCTCCAAGCTCTCTCAGTTCGATCACCAGCACGCCCATTTCCCATCCCAAAACTCCTCCTCCCAAACGACTCGCTGTTCGCTATCTCCGTCACCTCCTTAATCTTAGCAGACTCAAGCTGCTCATCAATCTCCTTCCAGTCCTTCCCTTTCTCCGCCAACACCTCTTCCCTCGGTCTTGCAGCACCAAATGGGTTAGAGCCCTTGGGCTTCGGTGCAGTGGTCGAACCTGGTGAGGTCTCGTTGCTCACAGGCAAACTCCTCGGCTGCAAATTAAGCCTGGGCCTCGCAGTACTCTCACTAAGACCACCATTACTCTCCTCCCTCTTCTTCCCCCAAACATCAGAATCCGCACCACCGCCATTGGAAACGAACCCAACTTTTCTCTCTCTATCAAATCCAGACCCACCATTAGTCTCCTCCTTCTTCCTCCCCCAATTATCAGAATCAGCACCACCATTAGATGGGAACCCTACTTTCCTCTCCCGATCAAACCCGCCATCACCACCGCCAAATCTCCGTCCCTCCGACGGCATGGAGCTCTTATTCGACACCCAGCTGTTGGATTCATCAGCCTTCGACTGTGACCCACCAAAAAAACTACCTCCAGGTCCTCCTCTCTCCCTCCTCTCAAACCCATTTCCCGGCATCGATTTCTTCTTGGCGCCCCAATCATCAACCTCATCCGCTCTCGAAGGCTCATCTCGGTTCGATTCCCTCCCAAACCCACCTTCCTTCCTCTGACCCGAACCCCACTTCGACTCCGAAGACTCGTCACCATTGGAATACCTGCTGTTTCCCCGATCGCCCCCATAAGACCTGAACCCGCCGCCGAGCCGATTCCGATCAAGCTCCTCGGCTGTTCGCTCGCGCGGACCGGTCGGCAAATGCATCCGGTCCTCGTGCGTCAGGCCCAAGGGATGCTCCGCGGGCTTGGGTTTGGGCGCCCCAAAGTTATTGAACTCGGCGAGGGAGATGGTCTGTTTCTTCTTCTTGGGCTTGGTGGCGGCGGCTGCAGAGAGAGATGGGAAGTCAGCGGAGGGCGGCTCAACGGCGCGTTGTTGTTCCTCTTTGGCTTGCTGTTCGAGTTCGGCTTCCTGCTCCTCGGCGGCAAGGGCCCAGGCGCCGGGCTTGGCCCACGGAGACACGGTGGCCGCCATGGTTGCAGTGGTAGCTCTGTGGAAAACTGAAAAGGTGGCTCCTTTTTATTCTCTTGCGCGAAGTCGGTTTTCGGGGTTGCGTTGTGAAGAAGCGGTGAAGGGGTTCTACGAATATATAGGGTAAGGGATGGGGATCTGATCCGACGGTTGGTTGGAGTTTATGATTTTCCGAATCCGATGGGGAATCTGCGAGGTTTTTTATTTTTATTTTTATTTTTTTGGTTTTTTGATATGGAGAGGAAATCTGACTTATTTATTTTCAATTTTGGAAAATTTTATTTAAACCCATTTAATCTTTTTTTACACCCAACTTAAATTTTAAATGTTAATTTTATATTTTACCCTATTGCATAATTACTATTAAGTACAAAATGAAATTAATAATAAAACTCAAATTTATCAATAAACCCAAACACTATAATTAAACCCTACGATCACTCTTTTTTTATCCTAGGTTCATTCTAGCTAAAACCCTAATAGCTGTCATAGAGAAAAATAAGTTTTTTTTATTGATGGATGGTGATTTTGAAGTTTTGAATCCTCCAACCAAGGTATGACTCAATTTATGAATTTTTTGTTGGTTTGATTTCAATTTATGAATTGGCAAACCATGAGTTGCAATTAGAAAACCATGATCTGACTTCGATACGATCAGCAATTTCATTAGCCTTAATTGCAATTAGAAAACTATACGATTCTGCTCAACCTTGGTTGTTTCCAGTTTCTCTCATTGTCAATTCCAACATCTAGAAATGACTGAAGAGTACGGGGAGGACAACTTAATCACACAAAGTGAAGCCTTTCTCAATCAAGTAGTTCTTCGAAATTGCAAGGACTCTCTAAAGACACTTCAAACTTGTGATGACATGCTCCTTTATGCTGAAGAACTCAACATTCCAAAAAGGTGCATGGAATCACTTGCCACAAAAGCATCTACTAATCCTAATTTGTTTGGATGGCCTGTCAAGGAGCATGGCGGCCCCATGCAAAGTCCTGGTGGGAGTGTCCTGTGGAATGGAATAAGTACGGGGCCAGACCAAAGAAATCAAGTTCAGATTACAGGAGGAGCTTCCTCCCATCAAATTTAGCTTCTAAAAATCAAATGGGTGTAAAAATAAATTTACATATTGAATTGAGTTTATGGGGGTATATTAGGTATTAAATTTGGGTTTAAAGAGATATTAATAGTTTAATTAAAAATCAAATGAGTGCAAATAGTAAGTTGGGTGTAAAAATAGGTTAGATGGGTTTAAATAAAATTTCCCTTCAATTTTTCCTTATTAGTATCTTTATGGTGCGAGGCGAAATTTCTCTTATGCAAGTAAAATGGTACTTGAAATGCACTTTTAAAGTTTTCGCATACAAGCAAACATATGATTCGATTACAACCTCAAATTTATTGTATACAAGTTAAAAACTAATAGTTTATTAGTATCTCTCATTACATATGACATGATTAAAGTCTAGAATTTTTTGCATACAAACAAACATGTGATCCGATTACAACTTCAAATTTGTCGTATTCAAGTTAAAGACTAATAATTTATTAGCATCTCTCATTACATATAACACGATTAAAACTTAGAATTCCCCGTATACAAACGAAAAGGGGACCTGATTACAACTTAGATTTTCTCATATACCAAAAAAGGGCTAACAAATTTAGTGTAATTTCTACACATTTTCAAATTTGAATTGGGAGTATATTTTTTTGTAATGAGGGGGATACCTTACAATCTCTGTTTCCTCTATCACGAAACAAAAGGCTAGTTGGTTCAACATGGGGTATTTTAGAACGGAGGTGCTAAAGTCATTATCTAAGAAAAATAAATAGAATTTTAACTTCGAAGGAGTTTAAAATATGCATTGACACACTTATACCCAAAAATAACTTATAATTTAACTGGTCAAGAGCGTTACCTTACCTCTAAGGTCTTTTTTGTTGAATTGAATGCATTCCATTATAAACTTATTCCAATTTTCCCATATGTGTCGATAGCCATAGGATTGAAATTGAAATGAGTGATTCCCCTTTTTCCCTTTTTCCCTTTTTACCTAGAACCCACTATTTATCATTTCTTATGGGCTAAAGCAATTTGGAAAGATTACATTCAAATTGTAAAATATTGCACAATCTGCAGATTCGGATACATGTAAATGGACATTTCACATTTGTGAGTGAAGCCATCCATGTCTTTTTTTTCTTTCAGAAAAAAGGTAAACTCATTGACAAGAGAACCCAAAATTGAAGAGTTTATACAAGATTTACATATTCCATGTAGTATTTGCCCGTTAAAACGTAACTCTGTCTATAGCTCTATTCTATAATCTATCAATGCCGGTATGACATACACACTAGAAAGAGAGGAAACAATCAAACTCATTCGGACATGAACGAGGATCATGAACGAAACTAGTGAATGAGAAGCTGAGCATCATTATGTACAGATGCCATTAGCCCGTCGTGAGAGATTGGACATTGCCAGTATCACAGGTCTCTCTATTCCCTGGTATTGATACAGAACTGTAACCCCACTCCTGACGGAGGAGGATTCAGGACTTAGCATTCAGAGGGGTGCCACAAACACACCTCACTGAGAGCCTCATCTGCTGGCCGATGAAGCACATAAAATTAACTCCGCAATCTGCTAATAGCTCCAATATCTGCCTAGAAGAAACCATGAGCTCCCCATCTGCAAACACTCTTTAAAGGGTGGTTCTATTGGCACCCAACACATGCTAAAGAAAAGAAATTATAAAACAGGCCAGCGATGGGATGGAGGGAAGGGGACGAATGGGGACGGTGGATGGGAGTGCAATGTTTGTTTAGAAGAGTAAGGGTAAAATGGTTAGCAATGTGCTGGATGCCCACAGACTCACTCCTATCAAAATGATAGTTGCAGCACAGCTTCATTGCTTGGGATTGCATTCTTCAAGATGATTGTTGCAGATTAATTGGTATCACGGTTCAGGATAATCTGAATTCTGTAAAGTGAGCAAACGTTCATCTTCAGAACTCTTCACTGAATCTCCTCTAATGTACCATGTTACAGTTCCTGCGATGAAGAGAAGAATTACTGTAAGTTCAAGTCAATACCCAATACAAAGATTTACCGTATACTAAGATTTAAAAGCACTGTGAAGAGAGTTTCCTGGTACCAATCACAAGCAAAGAAAGTAGATATTATAGTCCACTGTAAGTGTAACTGTAACATGATCCTTAGTCAAACCAATGTGTTAATCACACCAACTCCTGAAACAGTTCAACCCGATAAAGAAACACACCATGCAAACTATTTTTTTCTCTTTTGGTGCTCAACCAGAGTCGTAGTTACAATGGTGATGGAATGTTACCACATTGTAAATTTTATTCCTGTCCTATCATGAGGAAACCAAATATCTTGCAGCATCTGTTTTATGCTGTTTATTAGATCAGAATTTTTACTTGTTATATTGATTTGAATTTAAAGGCGAAATTAAGTATAATAAAGAGCCCCAAATCCCAGATAATACAGGTTAAGGAAACAAAGTCCATATATATACCTTGTGGTTGTGGAGCAGGTGGTTCCTGATCTCTTGTTGCATGGAGTATGATGGTTCCTGACAGCACAGTGATGAATCCACATATTTCAGAGGCTATGCTGCTTACATTCTGGCCAGACCAATCCTGCATAGAATAAAGAAAACAACGTGAAATCGGAATCCGATGTCTTCATAATTGCATGACAAACAAGTAACAAACTAAGGCATCAGAAGGAAACCCCAGTATATAGATCGAGAAATCTACCTTGAACATTATTACACTAGCAATTATGGTCAGAGTTGTGAACATCACATAATATACTGGGGCAACAATTGCAGCATTGAATGTATCCAAAGCCTGAAACAAAGATGCTGGCAACATAAGTGATACCAGACTCAGCACGTAATTATTTATAATCCGAACTTCTAGAGAGATCTGAGTTAAAAGATGGCTGAAGGAGAATACCAACAAGATTATCATCCAAGCAGCATGTGATAAGCTGAATTTTTCAATAAGTAAACCAACTTAAACTTACTTTCAAATTTCAATTGAAAAGACTTTGAGAAATTTCCAAATTTATCAGAACGTAAATACTCTATGCTTTATCTACTGCTATTATATTGACAAGTTATATAGTAAATTGACACGTTATATAGCAAAAGTGGTATACATCAATTGCCCCTCCTTTATAGGCTAGGAACACGATGTAGTCAAAAGCTAAACAAATGGGCTGAACAGGATCTAAGAAAGCAAATACAAATTAGGCATTGCAGGAAGAGCAGACATTTAGCAAAAAAATGGCTAGTCACCACATAAATGCTAGTGACGATGGTCTTGGAGGAAGGTGCCAAAATTAAAAGATCAATACTGACCTTGTTAAGGTAATTTAACTGTGTAACAACGCAGATTATTGCAACTGTCAGAAAAAACCATGTCTGTGGATAAGCTATCTGACTTACTCCCTCAAGGGTCAGCTTTATAGCAATTCCAATTGCCTTTATGCTTACAACCTGAAGTAGCACAATGTACAAAGCTAAGCACCTAACAATTTGAACATATAAGAACAAAATGACTATACGTATTTAGCAAACAAGAAAAGGATAGTTACCGTAAGTGAACCCATCAAGGAACAGATTCCCAAATAGACTAGTATGTTCGTTTGTCCATACTGAGGTTCAAAATGCAAGACCAAAACTAACACTAGGGTAATTGTAACTGCAACATAAATCAGAAAGGCTGTGTAGAAAGGAAAAACACGACAAGTTAAACAAGCCAATGAAGGTTTTCTGACAAGTAGCATTGAAAGAGAAAAGGACGAGATAGAAGTCATGATTCACGAACCTGTTTGGGTCGCCAGGACCCAGATTTCCTCTACAGAATTTAGACTATGCTCCCGAGGTGCATGGATCACAATCACAACTGATCCCACGATGCAGGTAAGACATCCCACAATACCCATTTTCGTTATTCGTTCCTTCAACAAGAAGTGAGCCAAAACAGCACTGGACAAATCCAACAAACCCGTAAGTTGGTAACACAAACTTTCAGACAATAATCAGCACAGAAATGAACTGAGTGTTATACAAGTGCATTTACCTGACGATTATACTCAGTGCACCAAGTGGTGTTACAAGAACCGCCGGAGCATATACATAAGCCACGAAATTGGCAACTTCCCCAACAATCACTACCCAGTTGGAAAAATCGAAAACCGAATATCAGTAACTCATATCTACTTAGGAATTCAGTCAAATTTTCTGCAGGGAAAGTGTTAGAGCTACACTTACTGGTGATCATGCCAGCCCACCAGAGAGGTTCTAGTAAGTATGTATACCCACCAACTCCTACACAACTCAAATTAGACAAATTATCAATCAAACAAATCAATGAGATCACCATAACAAATCAATCAGCCAGTTGGGTTTCTGGAACCCATCAATTAGAAGAATTTTTTAAAATTGAATCATTTGATTAAATATTTGTAATTTACTCCAGTTCACAATATTTTGGGGATTACATTCAACTAAAATTTACCTGCTCGGGTGCCGGCGGCGGCGGCGCTCTTGAGACCCTTCTTCTTCAGGATGAAGCTCGCCCCGATGAAGGCGCTCGACGCCATCGCCAGTATCAACCCCTTTGTATTCTCCGAAACCCCCATCGGTCTCTCTCTCTCTCTCTCTCTCTCTCTCTCTCTCTCTCTAGGGTTTCTCTCTCCTCTATTTCTCTATAAATTGCAATACGCCTCCAAAGCTCTCAAAGAGTAGAGAGAAAGAGAGAGCGAGCGATCTGATTGCGATTTGTAATTTCTACTAATTCTAAATATTTATTCCTGATTTATTTGCTAAGGTTGAAATCCTCTCTTGCTTGCGACTCGCAAGTTCCGTCGTCTTGTGGGAAGTTTCCGGTGGCCGTCCGGAACGAGGTAATGATTCCCTGCTTGGCGCGCTGGTTACCCCCATGTTGCGGGAGCAGATTCTCTTGGCCTGTGACTTGTTGCGGGGCCATACTGAAATGACGAGCGTGTCCTTCCTCTTCTGGCAGGCGCCACGTCAACGAGTGCAAATCTGCTGTGCCCAAAGTCCCTTTGCATACATCCAGATGTTGACAAGTGTCCTAGGACTTAACAACATGTTAACTCTGTTAACTTGACGGAAAAAATAAAAAAAATAAAATTAAGGAAAAATAAGAAAACTTCAACTCGCCTTCGCCGAAGTGGATCTCGCCGGCGGCAAATGGGTTTGGAAGCCATGTTGCGTTGGATCTGCTTTGGCGACGGTAGCAGTAGCTTTGTTCGGTCTTTCAATTTATTTAAATTTTAACGCTGTTAAACTCCAGTTATGAGGGAGAGGACAGGTGTCACATGCACAAGCTTGTGCACAGGCTGGGCAGTTGATTTATGGGCACAGCACATCTACTGCATGCATCCACTACAACGGGAGGGTTACAGTAAATCAGGTGATCAGTTGGATGACAGCGGCGGGCGGATGCGCCAAAAGGTGGACTGGGGGTTTTGGATTGGTGTTTGAATAATTTAAGTTTACTCTCCAACTTTCTGTGATGGTGTTTGGATTGTGTGAAAATTTAGATGCTCAGTTGTTCCTTCCCCATTGGATTTTGGAGTGTCCTTCTCCGCTAAATTTGTAGCAGGATTCTTGTTTTGTGTTTTTTTTTTTTTGTTGAGAGATAACAAAGACTGTATATATAACACATACGTGAGTGACCGTAGCATGCAAGGCAACCAAATCTCCAAACAAAAAGTAACACGTGTGGCAACCAAAGTATACACAAACACCGCAAGCCGTGGTGGCTATAGAATTACAAAAGGACTTCACCAAAACCACTGTTCATAATTCAAATCCAACTTTTCTTGCTCCAAAAGAGAATATTAATATATCTGAAATAAATATTGATGGTATGCATTGGATGGACCACCCCTAACGTTGACATAAGAAATTTATCACAAGTTGAGAAAATGACTAAATCATCATCTGCCTGCAAATAATCAAATATCTGACATCATCCAAAACCCACCCCTCCTATCTCTCCCTTCTTTTATGCAATAAAATAAAAGAATAGGAACACTAATAAAAATTATTAGAAATTTTTTAAATTTTAACGATAATGATAAAATAAAAAATAAATTAAATAGTACATTTTAGTTTTAGTGTAAAAATATAAATTTTAGTCAAAATAAACAGTACCCAAAACTTTTCATTAAAATTCTTTAAAAAAGAATTTACAAGTTCATAAACAAGTAATACAATAAGATACATTACTAGATTGTAACCACAAAAACAAGCTCTCCTCCAACATTTCATTTTCCAATACAAGTTATTGAAGATGCCAACAAGCACAACAATCCAAAATCATAAATTCATAAATTTGACTAAATTTCTAGCCACCCAAATTATCATAAACACAAGTGGATCAACAATTAACAAATAATAATTAAATGATAATTGAGAACAAGACCTATTTTATTTAACGATAATAGCTCATTTCAATACAGAATAAAGAATCTGAGAGTCTCAGCAAAGAAACCACCGGAAGAGCATTATACGGAAAATTAGAAAATTAAAACCATAATAAGGTCCATAACCCAAACCCTAATATGACCCCACCTACTTTAATACCCAAATTTAAACACTCATCACATAACACGACGACGTTTCCATCGTCCATACATCAGCAGCCCAAGCGGCGGCGTCTAGGATAGCTGGCCGCAGTCGGCGATAACCACCGGCTTCGAGGTCCTTCCCTGTCCAGATCCGACCTTCTCGATGTTCTTCACCACATCCAGACCCTCGATCACCTGCCCGAACACCACGTGCTTGCCGTCGAGCCACTCGGTCTTGGCTGTGCAGATGAAGAACTGAGATCCGTTGGTTCCGGGACCCGCGTTGGCCATGGATAATATTCCAGGTCCGGTGTGCTTCTTCTTGAAGTTCTCGTCGGCGAACTTGGCGCCGTAGATCGACTCTCCTCCGGTGCCGTTTCCGGCGGTGAAGTCACCTCCCTGGCACATGAACCCGGGGATCACGCGGTGGAAGGCGGATCCCTTGTAGTGGAGGGGCTTGCCGGAGCGGCCGTTGCCCTTCTCGCCGGTGCAGAGAGCCCTGAAGTTCTCGGCGGTGCGGGGGTGGTGTCGGCGAAGAGCTCCATCACGATTCGGCCGGCCGGCTGGCCTCCGATCGTCATGTCAAAGAAAACCTTAGGGTTTGCCATTGCGGTTCGTTCTAGAGGAGAGAATGAAGAGAGTGGGATTGGGGTTTGTGATGCGTGGACCAGATCACGAAGACGCGGGGGTTTATAAAATGAAAACTAATGAAAAGGGCTTGAAAACTTTGAGTTTTAATAATAAGGACAAAATAAAGGGTAAAGTGAATAGTACCAAGATTGACTTTTTAGTGTAAAAATGTGATTTTTCGTTAAAGTGAACAGTACCGGGTGCTTTTCGTTAAAGTTCCCTTTATAAAAGGGTTTCTGCGGGGAATGTCTAGGTCAAGTTTTTTTCATCCGTTGGATTGAAAAACGTGGAGCGAATCCGAAGAGGGACGGGCTAACCGTGGTTGGGTCGGGTTTTTAACCGTGGTGTATTTTGGGATCCGAGGTTGAATGAAGTGGGTATGCTGGGTATATGCTTTTGTTATTTTTCGGATGAGGTCGACTGTCATCTTATAATTTAACGTTAATTTTCATTTCAATAACAGAAGATACTGTGTCATAACATGAGTTATTATTGAGTTAGAGTCTCACTTTTGAGTCTGATTTTTACAGTAATTTTCGTTCCATCGTTATAAAATATAATATTATAAAGCGACTCTCTCATAATTTCACTTTTGAGAGAATATATCATTGTCGGATTTTTTTACCAATATCATATGATTAAGTGATTCAGACATTTAAAATTTTATCCAACGATCCACTTGTTTTAAACTTTTCAAAACTATAATAATATTTTATAGTTGAATGAAATTTTAAAAGTTCAAATCATTTGATTTGATGATCTTGGTGAAAGACATATCTTCTTTACTTTTGAAACCATTTTTGCTTTCGGGTAAGGGTTCGTCGACACATGAGGAGAAGATAAGATGCTATTCGGGGGTTTCGGGTGTGGATTTAATAAAAAGTTAACACTGACAATTTGACTGAATTACTGACCTTCTCTGGAGCAGATCCAACAGTGGAGATTTCACGAGGTTATTCAGATGTCAACAAATATATGAAGCCAAAAGATCTGAAATTACGGATCAGGGGAACCAATTTTTATATTTTTATATTTATTAAATATGATTATACCCGTGGAGCATGGATCCACCAACCATGGAAATGTGGGTTGATGTGAGATTTTCAAAGTGCTCGAAACATACACATATATCATATGTTATTATACGAAAAGATGAATACTTGAAAGAAAAAAAAAATCCCCTACTTATATAATAAAATATGATATACCGCATCGTATTTTAGACATATTAAAAGATCTCTTTCGGATTGATCCAACCAACAAGCAGATTAAGATTAGTTTGTTAATTTTCTTCATAATGGAAAATATAAATCAGAAATGAATAGAAGTAATATGGTTAAAGGGTCATTGTTCCTAAAAAGAGGAGGGCACTTTGTTTAGTAAAGTTAGGGGATTATCTTCAATTTATTTCAAAATGGCAATTTTTGTTAAGTGCTTGGACATATGTTCTCGTAGCATTCATTACGTGGTCACCGTTACTTGGACAGTTGTCTCAGTTTTTCTTTTAGATTTTTCCTATGAATCTCAAGTTTTGTCCTTCCAACTTTCTAAACTTGCGTATTTAGGGATATTATTTTTGTAAATTGATTTTCACCTCTTGCATTTTTTTTTTCAGTTATTGGTAGCGAAATCAAAAGTCAGAATTGAAACCAGATGTGCAAAAAATAAACAAATGTATATAAAATTCTTTCACTGTATTTACACAAATATAGAAGTGGCACAGCAAGGACAATAAAACAATGTGAGGCACATCGCTGAGTATTGTAGTAACAATCAGAGTCTTTAAGGGAAAAGACTTCCATTTTTCTCAAAAATGAAAAATAGTCGTGGGGTTCACATCACGTCGAATTTTAACAATTCGAATTATTTATTTTTCAAGTTGCATTTCATAGATTAACTTGTAAAATATTAACCAAATCAAAAATATCTTAGGCATCTAATTTAGTTCAAAGAAATTGACAACACACCATGCTCTTAAAAACATTGAAATTTCATTATGACTAGTAAATAGACAAATGGTATCGAATTGAATTGAAATTTTGCAAAAATGATCTATGAATCAAGACTTACAAAATAGACAAATCGAATCATTAAAATTCAATACGAAATGAATTCTACAATTATTCCCTATGTTTCCAAAAAAAAGAAAGAAAAAGATGTCTTTGTTTAAAGGGCCTGAATCTCATTACTCCGTCCCATGGATCTTCCCTTCAAATCAAAATTCGTGTAAATTACACGAGAGACAGAGACAGAGACTCTTGACGGAATCAACTTTGGAAAAGGGAAGGGCAGGAAATTCGCACGCGACAATGAAAAATGGCCGACGGATTCAACAAAATCTTGCCCATCAATCATACAACACATCTTTTTTAAAAGCAATTCAATATATAATACAAAAAACAATGGCTCAACGAAACCCCACAATTTTATAACCAAAATGTGGAATATTTCTAAAGCCGTTCATCTGAGCCTTCCTTTTAAGTGATGCAGAGTTTTTACATTACATTGCAAAGCCTTACAGTTTTCGGTTTTCGCCTATATGCACAAGACTATCTCACAGAAACTCGTCAGCCTGTAATAATCCGGGATAAACGACCGATAATATCTGTTTCAAGGACTTCACAGATGGTTTGAGGAAAGCATGTCTCTCCGTCGCTACAAAACACATTACACGAAAACATCAAGTACTCACTGAACGTCCAGTAGCTTGGTAACAAACTACGTATTCAATGCAACTGGAAGACATGCAGATAAATGGGAGTTTTTACCTTTTACTAAATGTTTAACTTCCTTTGAAAAATCCTCTCCACACGACCTAGTACGGGTCTTATGCCACATATCTGCAGAACACAGAGTTCCAAGTGCAAGGCCATCTCCATTATTTGTAGCAGTAAGCAACAGATACTCTGGACTTCAATTTGAATCTCGTTTGATCTGTTAACCTCACACAGCTCTGTAACAATTGTAATTGCTTGGTCCTACATTAGAGATAATAACACATCCACATTAAAAAGGAACGCCACCTCAAAACTTACAAGTTATTGTAGACCAGATATAGTTTTGCATAACGAAACAAAAAGCTAATCAAAGAACAAAATTTATCGTCGTACCTGTAAGCCATGTAAGATCTCAGGCATTGTAAGCTCAGGAACTTCAAAAGGAGAAAAGTTATTCTGTAGATCTGTAGGGCAATAGAGTCAGAGAAATATGACTGAGAAATGTGACTGCCATTTACAGTTGCTTGAGTTTTAATAACCAGCGCAGTAGATGTGGTAGGGATGGTGGAGAATTTTGGTTTTGAAACACAACTGAGGGCAGAAAGGGCAAACCATCCACTTTTACTGTTGATAAATGAGGGTTTCTTGCAGCCATCAAATTCCTCTTTAAGGACAGAAGGACATAACAGAGGGGCACTAAGACTAGAAGGTTCTCCAAGCCTTTGAGTTCCCCTACTGATAAAGGCTAAAAGATGGATACTTTTCTCTCTCAACTGGGAATCCAATTCTTTCATAGACTTAACCCAGGAATTCCAATGTTTTGCTAGCACACACATTAGCATGAGAGTGTGCTCAGTTTCTTTAAGATCAGTAAGAGAAGTTTGTCTCTGCTGAGCCCGAGGTCTTTTCTTGTCATGATCATCAGATGGGAAATCCGGAGCACTTAGATAGTAAGAAATCATATAGTCTTTCTCTGAAAAGAAGTAAGGTAGTACTTTCTCCACAAGATTGGAACAAGCAGCACTGTCTCCTAATGACTCAACCATAGCTGTGATGACTGCCAAACCAAGTCCCCATATTTGCGGAGGCTTTTCCAGTTTCTTAGATGATGAGTTGGAATTTCTGTTATCAATAGTTTCGGAAGAAGACGTACCATCCAAGTATTCAGCGAACAAGAATCTCAGAGACGAGAGAAAGCCATAATTAATAAGCATTTCTGCACCCCGCCTAAAACGGGCAAGAGTAAAAAAGAAATTCATTATAACAGGCACAGACTCAAGAGAATTTTTATTTTGAAGCTTCAGAATCACACGCTGAAGCTGGAGGTGGTTCTGTATAATGGGGAACCAAGTGTTGGGAGTCAAGAAATTTCGAAGTATCAAGTCCATAGTAGTTAGGGAGAGGGTTCCGTGCTCAGCAGTAGCAATACAGTTACAGAGAACTGGTAGTAGACCAAGACTCACATTAGATATTTTAGCCATGTCTTCGACAGAAATTATATCTCTTGCCCCAACCAAATGCAACTTATGACAACCAAACTCCACTGCTGAGAGAAGCAACATAAGTAAGAGCTTTACTACAGTGTCAACCCCCATAACTGATGGCCCGGTAACTAATGCTCTGAAATCACTCAACACTTAAAGGCCAGAACCTTGTGTTTTTAGTACGAGAATGCAAACAGATAAAGGCAGGCTTTTATGTGCATACATCATAAGATAGAGAAGCAATTCTGCTTGAGCCGCAAGGAAGTGAAAGATATCTTCAGAAGCGCTGGGTACTGGAGCTCATGATTCTACTGTGTTGTGGAAGCTCAGGCATATGTGATCTATGCATGAGAAAACAAGTTGATCAGGGATCCATCTCACTGTACTCTTTGTCTCCAGTGACTGCAGTAGCAGGTACACATGACTTAATTTCAAAAGAAATAAGATATTTGTAAAAGCAACAAAGTGACAAGAACTAAACTGTCACAACAAAAAAATTCATCGACCTTTAACACAAGGACAAAAATACCGTGCTGATCAGCATCTAGATGCTACTGTTGAAAGCAGGAGGCTTAGATCATGTGTCTTATCGAAGACAAAGTAGCCTTCACTATATGTCAAAACACTCAAAACCTCCTCATCTCGGTTTTTCTTGTCATATTCTTGATTTAACGGGAATGCAATGACTTCACAACCGTTCATTGTAAGATGAATAGAAATTAATTAAAAGAGTATTTCGAAATGAAATCCACATTCTCCAGTTACCATTACATGCTTTTACTATTCATACCCCGATTTTGAACAATACAAACTTGACACATCTTATATCATGAGAGTTACTACTCTAGCCGTAGGTCCTAGTTATTTGATTGCATTCTTCAGTACTTAAGTAGACATGACATAGGTATAGCATAGAGTTCACAGACTGCAATATCACTGATGCTGTTCAACTTCCAAAAGATTTGAAATGAGAAATCAATGTTTGAAATAGTTTTTACACAAACTTTACAGGTTCCTGTAGAATATTAGGCATTAACATTTGTTTAGCATCAGATGTAACATGTTTCAAAAACATTACATCTCTTACATCTGCATGATCCTTAAAATATCCAACCCTAAAATGCAGTTACAGATATTATCAGACCCCTTTCGTTGAGGGATTCCTCAACGGAAGGACACTGCATATCAAATTTCTAAAGAAAGCATCTAAAAGCAATTAGAAACTCTAAGAGAGTACTCACATCCTCCCCGTATACAGTTAAGACACTTCTTAATGCTCTCAGTGCAGAAAGCTTCGAACTTGTAAGCATCGCCATTGAGTTTGCAGCTTTCATGTGATGCAACATTGTTTCTGCAGTTGCCTTCGATTCTTTCCATTTTGAATAATCCCAAAGATCTAACCCCAAATCAGCACGTACAAATTTAAGATCAAATAAGTATGTATCTCTTCCAGTCACAAAAAGATCACCATCATCCTTGTGTTGGTAAGTCTGAAAAATATTTGATTCAATTAGGAACTGAGAGAGTTCTTTGAATGGTCCAGCACGGATTTCACGGCCTTCAAGCTGTCCTTGCAGATGATAGTAGAGATCACTAAGTATCAAATAGTTTGGCTCTTTCCCTGCACTGAAAATAAGATTATATATTATTCATACATGGGCACATACATAACACGCATTATTCATTGATTCCATTATCCACGTGGTAGTCTCAGCATTCTTTTGAGATATAACACAGGTTATTAAAAGAGTATATGTGAAACAAATAAAAAAAACCAAATATGGTATTCAAAGCCTATGCAAATTTAACCTCCCAAACTTATGACTGCATGTCACCACTTAGACGGTCTGTCAAAGACAAGAACTCAAAACTAAAGTATCACACATAACACAGCTCACACTATAAGAACACATTGACCGGAAGGGGCAGTTATAAATATCCAGAATCCTCAGGAGAGGTACTGTATAGAGGCAGTTTGTTGACTTACAAATGCCTTGTTCAAAAGTGGCAGTGCTAAAGGTCGTACCCAGTGCACAAGGCTCCCGCTTTACGCAGGGTCTGGGAGAGGTGAATGTCGGCTAGCCTTACCTAGAAATTCCAACTGAAATTAACAATAGCACACATGTTACCTGTAACCATGCTGTGAGTATTGAGCTAACAATTCAGAAAAAGCAGGATGACTTCTCAGCTGCCAATGAAGAAGGGTGAGAAGAAAGATAACAGCAATCAGATATGATGCAAATTATACAATCTCAATTTTACTAAAACGGAAAGTACTAAATACGAGAATCTATGAAATTAGAAACTAAATTGAACCTTTTATGGGTTTCTCAGCATACAATCATCTTGGATTACAAATTAAGTAACACAATCAAGAAGGGAATGAACCTTATTTGACGTGTTACTGGACTTCTCAACTAATGACATAGACAAACTTCCTGCATCACCAATTGATAAGTTCACCATCACACAAGCAGTGATTACACTTGCAGCAACCTGTGAAGTTACAGAGGTATGAATATTGCATTCTAAAAATTAAGAAGCTATAAGCCACTTAGTATTAGGGTCCAGTGGTATTACTCTTCACTTGTAAGTGAGAGGTCTTATTTTCGATTCTCGCCAAAGGCGAATTTGAACCACATTATTGCAATAGGGTCCAGTGGTATTACTCTTCACTTGTAAGTGAGAGGTCTTATTTTCGATTCTCGCCAAAGCCACTCCCCCACCCCTTAGTGTAGATAATAGGTTAGTACTAACGTATGTCATGAAGCAGATTGAACACAATAATGAGAAACTTTCTTATACAAAAAATGACTATTTCCTAGAGCAGTGAACTTAAGAGGAAAACCAAAAGCTTCAACTCATAAAACATAACCAACAAATTCACAGAATGTATGAAGATGAAAAAAGAAGTGATAAACAGCCAACCAAAGTGAAAACAAAACCAGAGACATAATTCACAAGTTAAAATTAATAGATTCGTAGAAAAATAAAAAATAAGACTAGAACTTATTTTATCTAATATGATTTTATCTCATAACACACATGCAGCGGCCTACAAATATTGCAAAAATTCAGAAAAAATATTGAATGGTGGATACATAAAAGTTTGAAAATTTTCAAAGTCTTGCAAAATGCAAGAGATACGAATTATATTCCAAAAATTCCGAGATAAAATCAATTTTGAAATTTCTGATAAATTCTCATAATCCAAAATCCGAAATTGGAACTAATATTTGATTCCAACCCCTTTTGGAGTGGATTGGAATGCTTGTTTCCAATCCGATCCGACCAAAAAATCAGCCATCATCAAGAACAGTGATAAAACCCTAGCAGCACCAACTTGTATTCCCTGCATTGAGAACTTGAGAATATTAATAAAGATGCTCAACAATTATGAGATTATTATCCCACCTACCACCAAGCAAAGCAAACAATTAAGGTCAAGTCAACAAGGACACATTCCCCCATATTTATAGTCTGCCCAACCTTTTCATAATTAAATGCAAATAAGATGTGCACAAAGCCATTACAATCAAGTAGGGCATTCTGGTTTGAAGGTAAAAAAGATTAGCATTACGCCTATCATGCCCAACGGTCTGAGTAACAAACCACTGAATACAAGTACAAGTTTCCTATGAATCCATGTGTTCTACAAAGTATATAAAACAGAAACAAATTGACATGCAACTCCTACATAGCAACAATCACATAGATATGGAGACAAGTAAATGAGGAACTCTTCCAGCAGAAATAACAAAAAGAAAAAACAACGTTATAATTTGATAATGTACAGGTAAATACACAGTTACCGAAATGGAAGAACCATATAACTATAGTATTTACAAACGCAATGAAGAGAATGTAATCAATAACAATTGAGTATGGAGAAAGGCCATACAGGATTGCGAAAGTAAGATATCAAGGACACAAGCGCTGCAACAATAGGAATTGGTCTGCTAGCTGATGAGAAAACTGCTTGATGAAAAAATGGAGGACTGGAAGATATATCCTGAAAATAAACATAACTGAACATCAACTATGGACCTACAGTACAAAATAAAAATGCAACCATCATATTTCAAATAAAGAAAGATATCCATCACAGATGCATATAGTTGGCAAAAGCACAGAATACTCCATAAAATAGGTAAAAGAACACACAACATTTCGTTATACCGTTCATTGCTCATTTACTTTTTAAAGCAAGCTAGAGGGTTGGTTTATTTTTTAAACTTGTACCGTACATCAAGAAAACTCACTTTTGAACAGAAACAGAACACATCTGCGCATCATCTAATATAATCCCAAAAAATTGTAACATGTGCAACTTTAAAAGTCTTTCAAACATAGCATGCAATCAAAATGTGTATTCAACAAGCTTATTTCCAAATACCTTAGAAAATTTAGAGAGCATGATGAAAAGGATATCTAAAACGGAACATATAGCCATCTGTAGACCTTCAATCTCTGTTAGATCAATGAGCCGGCTGAAATAAAGTCTCTGCAGAAAAATGCTCTCAAATTAGTGATTAGAACAAAAACAACAGCAGGTCATTACCAAATAAGATTAAAAGATACATAACATAACCCACCTCCAGTGCTTGGGTAGTTTACTATGGATGGACGAATCAGACAGTAACCTATCCAGGATGACTTCATCCAACTTTTCAGAGTATGATACTGATGTAATAATTTTTTTCATCACTTCTAGCACCTGAACCAGTAAAATAATGTAAAAATTGACCCTCCCACCGTAATCGACATTTACAACACCAAGTTTCATTTCAGAGACCTCAATAACTGAGTAAATAGAGTAGATTAACTAGCCTTGAGAAGCGACATTCAGGTGCAGAAAACAATGTTCAGTACCATGCATGCATGCATTGATGCACATTGCGGTTCCCTAACATGCACACATTGATGCAGACAGAATTTCAGATAGGAATTCTTTTACAAGCTTGGCTATTGGGCTCACGTGTATCAGCTTAAAAATATGCTTTCAACTTGATTCTTTTATTCTTTTCTTTTCTTCGATAATAAACAGAACAACACTACTAGAATGAGGTGAAATTAGGACAACAGAGAACAAGTAATCCATTAAAGGTACACAAGTCCTATACCAGCTTGTTATCTACTCAACAGTTCTGGAACATTATTCAAACTACGGAACAAAAGGAGAGAAAATCATTCAAATTTCTCCGGAAATTGAAATTCCGGCTCATTGGAAGTTTGGAATGTAGGAGAGCAGAGATTGTTAATTGGCACATCAATGACAAATTATAACCAACTAAACGTAGATACAGAAAGCCAAAAGGAAGGTACTCAACCTAGTCATCCCCCTAAGAACCAATTCTTCCCCCATTCCCACAAGTAACCAAAGATCATGTAGAAAATAACTAACTTCGCTTGAAATATCATTCCAAGGACCTTAATTCAAACCTATAGCCACCACATTAAAGGCTCACATAGTGGCATCAATGTCAAATCGAACACGAACGGAAAAAGGCCAAAGAGATTATCTTCCCAATGGAAGTCTTTACAACCACCTCTTAACTAAGCCCCCTTCCTATATAACTGTACTCTCATTCATTTTTATTTGAAAGACTCATGAGTCATATGCCTCATACTCTTTAACTGGTTAAGTTACATCAATTAAAGAACAAATGCAGAAGGCATAAGAAAGACAAAAGGCTTCGCACTCATTAACCAAATACGTCACAGCATAACAAGATACAACAAATAGGATATCAAATGCATGCAGGGCAAATGGATTTGACCTCGTAAGGTCGTACCCAGTGCACAAGGCTCCCGCTTTACGCAGGGTCTAGGAGAGGTGAATGTCGGCTAGCCTTACCCCCATTTATGAAGAGGCTGCTCCCAAGTCTCGAACCCGAGACCTACCGCTCGTATGAACAAAAAAAAAAAAAAAAAAAAAAAACTTGATTTGCCAAATTTCTTTTCATTTCTATAAATCTAAAGGAATTTCTTAATGATAAAATTACTCTCTTGTCATTTCTTGGCGTTTGATGGTTCAAGGCTGATATAGGGAGGCAATCCAATTAATAGGACCAGCTCAGAATTTATGTTAGTTATACACAAACCAGAAGGCTGAACCCCATCAGTTTTCATCAAGGCTGTACCTTCAATGTTACTCTCCAAAGAGTATGCTTCACCTTGAATTTCCAGTATTCATGGTTAACAAGAACATACTGAATGGAGAAAACAATTAAATCCAGGACAGCATCATTTTTTAATCCTGTCTCCACGAGATGCAGGGTAAAGTCCAGCACTGCAACGTTTTAAAATCATCCATGTCAAAGCAGAAAGCTAAGATATAAGAATAAAACAAAAAACAAATTAAAAAAAAATCCAGTACTTCCTATTTTATTGTATGTATCAACATATTTTAGTACAAAACAAATCAAGATGGAACTAGATGATGTTATACCAGCAAAAGCACATAACATCAATGCAAGAATTAGCAAAACAGAAGATGGCAAAATGAATGATTTAACTTATACCTGATATAGTCAATGAGCAGCAACTATCATTCTGCTCACAGTCAATTAATAGCATCTTTGCCAGTTTCCCAGAAAGAAACCATGTTCCACTGGAAACAAAAATAAAATAAACAAAGTGATAGAAAATATTAGAACAAAAAAGGAAAGTGCAAAGCCGAAGAAGTGCCATAAAGAGAAATAAATGTATGAGATGGAAAAAATGTAAGAGATGGACAATTATAACACAACTGGAAACAAGTAGATAATTGTATACCTCAATTAACTTAAAGGTAAGAATGTGAACAATTAGAGCGCTCTCATGAAAATATGTACGAGATGGACAATTATAACAGGAAAACAATTTGGCCCGCAATATACAACAACAATAACAACAAAGCCTTTTCCCACTAAGTGTGGTCGGCTATATGAATCCCAGAACACCATTGCGCTCGGTTCTGTGTCATGTCTTCTATTAGATCCAAGTACTCTAAGTCTTTTCTTAGAGTCTCTTCCAAAGTTTTCCTAGGTCTTCCTCTACCCCTTCGGCCTTGGACCTCTATCTCGTAGTCGCATCTTCTAACCGGAGCATCAGTAGGCCTTCTTTGCACATGTCCAAACCACCGTAACCTATTTTCTCTCATCTTTCCTTCAATTTTGGCTACTCCTACTTTACCTCGGATATTCTCATTCCTAATCTTATCCTTTCTCGTATGCCCACACATCCAACGAAGCATCCTCATCTTCGCTACACCCATTTTATGTACGTGTTGATGCTTCACCGCCCAACATTCCGTGCCATATAGCATCGCCGGCCTTATTGCCGTCCTATAAAATTTTCCCTTGAGCTTCAGTGGCATACGGTGGTCACACAACACGCCGGATGCACTCTTCCACTTCATCCATCCAGCTTGTATTCTATGGTTGAGGTCTCAATCTAATTCTCCGTTCTTTTGCAAGATAGATCCTAGGTAGCGAAAGCGGTCGCTCTTTGGTACTTCCTGATCTCCGATCCTCACCCTTAACTCATTTTGGTCTCCATTCGCAGTGAACTTGCACTCCATATATTCTGTCTTTGATTGACTTAGGCGAAGACCTTTAGATTCCAACACTTCCTGAGTTTCATCTATCAACACTATATCGTCTAAGCCTAGATGTAACCCTACAGTTATGGGGAAACTTTCGGTTTGTCATTCATGAGTTCTTACGGCAGTCTTTGCTCCATCATACATATCTTTTATAGTTTGGATATATGCTACTCGTACTCCTTTCTTCTCTAAAATCCTCCAAATGAGAAACTTAAATAAAGCTCCACTTTAGATAATTGTATACCTCAATTAACTTAAAGGTAGGAATGTAAACCGCACATTTTTATGCATGCATGATAACAGCAGAACAAAGAAAGCTAGTCTTTTCTCAAAGCATTCACCTTGATGGATCATTGTGGCCATTCCTGAAACCAAATATATTTGCTTTTAAGGCGACCTCAGACACACGAGAAGGGGAACTGCCACAGTGAATGCATGTTAGAAAAACAGGTTGTGCTCAGGTCCAGTCTATGCCAAAAACAATACAAGCAATAATTATAGGCTAATATAACACTCTGAAATTCAAGATATATTATTTATCCACAAAAAAAAAAGTTCAAAATACATTGTATAAAAGATTGGGCTGTTAAGGAAACAGAACTTTATTAATAATAATATCAAAGCAAAATTACAAGCACAGTGAACAAGTCCACCCAAAAAAGAACAAACCTACAACAATGAGCCGTATCAAACATCAGAATCATAACATCAACTCTATAACAGATCAAAAGTAACTCACACCCAATACATAGCCAACAACACATTTCCAGTTGAAGACAGCTTTGAGTAACAGTTGCTAATCAATTGCATGCGACAACAACAACAACAACAACAACAACAACAAAGCCTTTTCCCATTAAGTGGGGTCGGCTATATGAATCCTAGAACGCCATTGCGCTCGGTTTTGTGTCATGTCCTCCGTTAGATCCAAGTACTCAAGTCTTTTCTTAGGGTCTCTTCCAAAGTTTTCCTAGGTCTTCCTCTACCCCTTCGGCCCTGAACCTCTGTCCCGTAGTCACATTTTCGAACCGGAGCGTCAGTAGGCCATCTTTGCACATGTCCAAACCACCGGAACCGATTTTCTCTCATATTTCCTTCAATTTTGGCTACTCCTACTTTACCTCGGATATCCTCATTCCCAATCTTATCCTTTCTCGTGTGCCCATACATCCCACGAAGCATCCTCATCTCCGCTACACCCATTTTGTGTACGTGTTGATGCTTTACCGCCCAACATTCTGTGCCATACAACATCGCTGGCCTTATTGCCGTCCTATAAAATTTTCCCTTGAGCTTCAGTGGCCTACGACGGTCACACAACATGCCGGATACACTCTTACACTTCATCCATCCAGCTTGTATTCTATGGTTGAGATCTCCATCTAATTCTCCGTTCTCTTGCAAGATAGATCCTAGGTAGCGAAAACGGTCACTTTTTGTGATTTTCGCTAGATTGCTCCGGTCATTAGTGTGGATAAGTATATAAATGGATAGAGATAGGAAAGCAAACACAAGATGTACGTGGTTCACCCAGATTGGCTACGTCCACGGAATAGAGGAGTTCTCATTAATTGTGAAGGGTTTACACAAGTACATAGGTTCAAGCTCTCCTTTAGTGAGTACAAGTGAATGATTTAGTACAAATGACATTAGGAAATATTGTGGGAGAATGATCTCGTAACCACGAAACTTCTAAGTACCGGAGTGTGGTATCGTCTTGACTTTCCTTATCTGTCTCATAGGTAGATGTGGCATCTTCTCTAGAAGTACTCTTCCTCCATCCAGGGGTGGTATCTGTAGCTGGTGGAGATGCACAAGGTAATGTATCAATGTCACTTGAAGCTTACTTGTAGTTTCAGGCTTGGTCAAGCGCGATACAAACCATGTAGTAGGAGTCCTCCAAGTCGCCGAGCTAGGGGATCTGCTGAAAGAGGTGACAGACAAGGTAAGCAATCAGAGCTCCGGCTGATTGTTCACATTTTCCCTATCTTGCAGGCAGCATGAAGGATAAAGAGAAGAAAAATGAGAAGAGATGATATGGGATACTTTTGCTTTTGAAGAAGTAACTTTCCACAGGCTTATTCTTGAACTGGGCTGGAGGGTTTTTTGGTTTCCTCCAGAGTATAAGGCCGACTGAAGAATTTGAGGGTCAAAACAAGTCCATCAAATCTAGAGTATGTTCGACCCTGCTGATATGGGATACTTTTGCTTTTGACAGAGTAGTGGATGTATCGGCACGTGTGCTGTTACGCTTGTCTCCACATGCTTCCTTGTATCCTTCTCACTTGCCCTATCTGTTCCTCAGGTAGATGCGGTATCTTCCCTGGGAGCATAAGATGTTGAAGATGAGTACTCGAGAGCAATGCCAGGTAAGTAATCAGGTAAGGGGTTCCAGGCAGTCAGTTCCTGGCTGGAAGCTTGATTCCAAGTGCTGACTGATTGCTCTCTTTCTCCTTGTCTTGTAGGTAAGAACAAGGCCAAAGGAAAAGACAGGGAAAAAGCATGATATGGGATACTCTTGCTTTTAACCCTGATGATATGAGATATTCTTGCTCTAGTATAGCTTGTTTACAGAGGTTTTATCGGGGGGAAAGAAAGCTGAATATTTCAAAAGGCTTCGTTGGGAGTGCCCTCTCAGATAAGAGGAAGGGTTGAGCATTTTTGCAGGTCTGCCTGTCCGTTGGGGATGGAGGTCGACATATATAGGAGTCTCCCTAACATCAAGTAGTAATGCTATTCCTTTACCCTGCTTGGTCATAGCACGGTAGTGGGATCTGCCAGCTTCACAAGTGTTAACTTTGTCAGAGCACTTTGAAAAAGTGGTCTGTGGTATCTGGAAAGCTGATGTTGCGTGTGAAGATTACAGACAAGCTTTATCCAAGGAGATCCAGCTCTTGAAGTTGGGAAAGTGGTGCCTCTTCGGTTTTCGAACAAGCAATCCTGTCGGGGATCTGGCTCTCGAGATTCGAAGAACGATGCCTCTTTGATTTTTGAGAAAGCAATCTTGTTGGGGGTCTGGCTCTCGAGATTCGGAGAGCGGTGTCTTCGATTTTTGAGAAAGTAATCATGTTGGGAGTCTGGCTCTTGAGATTCGGAGGGCGGTGCCTCTTCGATTTTGGAGCAAGCAATCTTGTTGGGAGTGTTTTCTCGAATGTGAGTAAAGGTTGGGCATGTTTGCTAGTCTACCTTGCCACGAAGCACAGAGGTTGACACACAGGGACTTTCCAATTATCCAGCAGTGGTACTGTTCCTTTACCCTCTCTTCGATTTTTGAGAAAGTAATCATGTTAGGAGTCTGGCTCTCAAGATTCGGAGGGCGGTGCCTCTTCGATTTTGGAGCAAGCAATCTTGTTGGAGGTGTTTTCTCGAATGTGAGTAAAGGTTGGGCATGTTTGCTAGTCTACCTTGCCACGAAGCACAGAGGTTGACACACAGGGACTTTCCAATTATCCAGCAGTGGTACTGTTCCTTTACCCTTTCTTCGATTTTTGAGAAAGTAATCATGTTGGGAGTCTGGCTCTCGAGATTCGGAGGGCGGTGCCTCTTCGATTTTGGAGCAAGCAATCTTGTTGGGAGTGTTTTCTCAAATGTGAGTAAAGGTTAGGCATGTTTGGTAGTCTACCTTGCCACGAAGCACAGAGGTTGACACATCGGGACTTTCCAATTATCCAGCAGTGGTACTGTTTCTTTACCCTTGTGGGTAATAATATGGTAGCTATACCTTCAAAATTTATGTGTCTAAACTTTGTTAGTGTTGTTTCTTTGCTATTCTTTTACCCTTCTTGGTCAGAGCGATGTAGTGAGAGCTGCAAGCTTCACGTGTCTCAACTTTGTCAGAGAACTTTGGCAAAGTTATATGTGGTACCCATGAGCTACTGTTGCGTGTGGGAAGTAGGTGATTGAACAGTACGATTCAAGTGCTTTCTACTTCGCCAGAAATCTTCGACAGAATGCCCATAATTTCCGCAAAGCTGAGTGTACGTGTGACAGGTGCTGACAAGGCTGGAAAAGTAGGTGCCTCTTCGATTTCTGAGATCGGCCCTCGTGGTCTCTGAGCAGCCCAGCTTTTGAGAAAGCAAGCCAAGCCTCTTCGATTTCTGAGATCGGCCTTCGTGGTCTTTGAGCAGCCCAGCTTTTGAGAAAGCAAACGCCTCTTCGATTTCTGAGATCGACCCTCGTGGTCTCTGAGCAACCCAACTTTTGAGAAAGCAAACGCCTCTTCGATTTCTGAGCAGGCGCCTCTTCGATTTCTGAAGCTTCGTCGAGTGCAGATTTTTATAGGGGCTGACATTAAGTTCCAAAGCACACTTGAATATCCACCAGTAGAAGCTCCATTCTTGCACTTCTAAGATCTTGATTTGTCCGACCTCTTCTCTCTTCAACACCTTTGAAAATGTCTGGCCCCTCCGACCGTCGTTTTGACTTGAACCTTGTTGAAGAGGCAGCCCCGCCTTCTCCAGACAACATATGGCGCCCATCCTTCGTCTCCCCTACTGGTCCTCTTACCGTTGGGGATTCCGTGATGAAGAATGATATGACCGCTGCGGTAGTGGCCAGGAACCTTCTCACTCCCAAAGATAACAGACTACTTTCCAAACGGTCTGATGAGTTGGTTGTTAAGGATTCTCTGGCTCTTAGTGTTCAGTGTGCAGGTTCTGTGTCTAATATGGCCCAACGCCTATTTGCTCGAACCCGCCAAGTTGAATCATTGGCGGCTGAAGTGATGAGTCTCAAACAAGAGATTAGATGACTCAAGCATGAGAATAAACAGTTGCACCGGCTCGCACATGACTATGCTACAAACATGAAGAGGAAGCTTGACCAGATGAAGGAATCTGATGGTCAGGTTTTACTTGATCATCAGAGATTTGTGGGTTTGTTCTAAAGACATTTATTGCCTTCGTCTTCTGGGGCTGTACCGCGTAATGAAGCTCCAAATGATCAACCTCTGATGCCTCCTCCTTCTAGGGTTCTGTCCAGTACTGAGGCTCCGAATGATCCCCCTCCGGTGCCTTCTCTTTCTGGGGCTCTACCGACTGCTGAGACTTCTCCTAAGCAACCTTTGTGAAGGCTCCCTCTTGTTTGTTTATTTTGACTCAAGTATATGTACATATTTGTAACTTATCGGGGATATCAATAAATAAGCTTTCCTTCATTTCAACGTATTGTGTTAAATACACCAAAGCCTTCTTCGCTAAGTTATTTGAATTTTCTTTTGTTGAAGCTTGTATGTTGAAGCTTTGTGAGTGGAGCATGTAGGTTGAGGTAGTGTTCCCTTAATTTCCCGAGTGAGGAAAACTTCTCGGTTGGAGACTTGAAAAATCCAAGTCACTGAGTGGGATCGGCTATATGAATCTTAGAACGCCATTTTGTTCTGTCTTGTGTCATGTCCTCCGTTAGATCCAAGTACTCTAAGTCTTTTCTTAAGGTCTCTTCCAAAGTTTTCCTAGGTCTTCCTCTACCCCTTCGGCCCTAAACCTCTGTCCCATAGTCGCATCTTCTAATCGGAGTGTCAGTAGGCCTTCTTTGCACATGTCCAAACCACCGTAACCGATTTTCTCTCATCTTTCCTTCAATTTCGGCTACTCCTACTTTACCCCGGATATCCTCATTCCTAATCTTATCCTTTATCGTGTGCCCACACATCCAACGAAGCATCCTCATCTCCGCTACACCCATTTTGTGTACGTGTTGATGCTTCACCGCCCAACATTCTGTGCCATACAGAATCGCCGGCCTTATTGCCATCCTATAAAATTTTCCCTTGAGCTTCAGTGGCATACGGCGGTCACACAACACGCCGGATGCACTCTTCCACTTCATCCATCCAGCTTGTATTTTATGGTTGAGATCTCCATCTAATTCTCCGTTCTTTTGCAAGATAGATCCTAGGTAACGAAAACGGTCGCTCTTTGATATTTCTTGATCTCCGATCCTCACCCCTAACTCGTTTTGGCCTCCATTTGCACTGAACTTGCACTCCATATATTCTGTCTTTGATCGGCTTAGACGAAGACCTTTTGATTCCAACACTTCTCTCCAAAGGTTAAGCTTTGCATTTACCCCTTCCTGAGTTTCATCTATCAACACTATATCGTCTGCGAAAAGCATACACCAAGGAATATCATCTTGAATATGTCCTGTTAACTCATCCATTACCAACGCAAAAAGGTAAGGACTTAAGGATGAGCCTTGATGTAATCCTACAGTTATGGGAAAGCTTTTGGTTTGTCCTTCATGAGTTCTTACGACAGTCTTTGCTCCTTCATACATATCCTGTATAGCTTGGATATATGCTACTCGTACTCCTTTCTTCTCTAAAATCCTCCAAAGAATGTCTCTTGGGACCCTATCATATGCTTTTTCCAAATCTATAAAGACCATGTGTAAATCCTTTTCCCATCTCTATATCTTTCCATCAATCTTCGTAAGAGATAGATTGCCTCCATGGTTGAGCGCCCTGGCATGAACCCGAATTGGTTGTCCGAAACCCGTGTCTCTTGCCTCAATCTATGCTCAATGACTCTCTCCCAGAGCTTCATTGTATGACTCATTAGCTTAATACCCCTATAGTTCATGCAATTTTGTACATCGCCCTTATTCTTGTAGATAGGCACCAAAGTGCTCGTTCGCCACTCATTTGGCATCTTTTTCGTTTTCAAAATCCTATTGAAAAGGTCAGTGAGCCATGTTATACCTGTCTCTCCCAAAACTTTCCACACTTCGATTGGTATATCGTCTAGGCCTACTGCTTTTCTATGCTTCATCTTCTTCAAAGCTACAACCACTTCTTCCTTCCGGATTCTACGATAAAAAGAGTAGTTTCTACACTCTTCTGAGTTACTCAACTCCCGTAAAGAAGCACTCCTTTCATGTCCTTCATTGAAAAGATTATGAAAATAACCTTTCCATCTGTCTTTAACCGCGTTCTCTGTAGCAAGAACCTTTCCATCCTCATCCTTGATGCACCTCACTTGGTTTAGGTCCCTTGTCTTCTTTTCCCTTGCTCTAGCTAGTTTATAGATATCCAACTCTCATTCTTTGGTATCTAGTCGCTTATACATATCGTCATAAGCCGCTAACTTAGCTTCTCTCACAGCTTTCTTCGCCTCTTGCTTCGCTTTTCTATACCTTTCACCATTTTCATCGGTCCTATCCTTGTATAAGGCTTTACAACATTCCTTCTTAGCCTTCACCTTTGTTTGTACCTCCTCATTCCACCACCAAGATTCCTTTTGGTGTGGGGTAAAGCCCTTGGACTCTCCTAATACCTCTTTTGCTACTTTTCGGATACAACTAGCCATGGAATCCCACATTTGGTTAGCTTCCCCCTCTCTATCCCACACACACTGGGTGATTACTTTCTCTTTGAAAATGGCTTGTTTTTCTTCTTTTAGATTCCACCATCTAGTCCTTGAGCACTTCCAAGTCTTGTTCTTTTTTCTCACTCTTTTGATATGTACATCCATCACCAACAAGCGATGTTGATTAGCCACGCTCTCTCCTGGTATAACTTTGCAATCCTTACAAGTTATACGATCCCCTTTCCTCATTAGAAGAAAATCTATTTGTGTTTTTGACGACCCACTCTTGTAGGTGATCACATGTTCTTCTCTCTTCTTAAAGAAGGTGTTGGCTAAGAAGAGATCATATGCCATTGCAAATTCCAAGATAGCTTCCCCATCCTCGTTTCTCTCCCCAAAACCATGGCCACCATGAAAACCTCCATAGTTGCCTGTCTCCCTGCCCACGTGTCCATTTAAATCTCCTCCTATAAATAACTTCTCCGTCTGAGCAATTCCTTGCACCAAGTCTCCAAGGTCTTCCCAAAATTTCTCATTCGAACTCGTATCCAACCCTACTTGAGGTGCGTACGCACTAATCACATTGATAAGTTCTTGTCCTATTACAATCTTGATTGCCATGATTCTATCTCCTACCCTCTTGACATCTACAACATCTTGTGTCAAGGTCTTGTCCACGATGATGCCAACACCGTTTCTCGTTCTATTTGTGCCCGAATACCATAGTTTAAACCCTGAGTTTTCTAGATCCTTTGCCTTACGCCCAACCCACTTAGTTTCTTGTAGGCACATAATATTTATCCTTCTCCTCACCATAACTTCTACTACTTCCATAGATTTTCCCGTCAAGGTTCCTATATTCCACGTTCCTAAACGCATTTTGCTCTCTTGAACTCTACCCTTCTGTCCTAGCTTCTTCACCCTTCCCCGTCTAATAGGATCAAAGTACTTCTTTTGTGTGTCCCGTGTAAAGTTGATAGGAGCATATGCTCCCAAACAACTTTGAGTGGAGTCGTTCGAAAAGAAGTTTCTATAGCCCCCTTGTTCATTTAACACTGCATCCGGGTGCCGATGGAGATACAGCGACCCTTGCTCACTTATCACTGTGTTCGGGCCACACAGCGCGCCACTTACGGGTGACGCCCTAGCTTTAGCGCGATTTTGTTCTGGATTCATTTTCATAAGGATTCGACGTAATCATGGAGTGCCGGCTGTCGACTACCTGACGCCCTCCCCCTCCTCCTTTATCCGGGCTTGGGACCGGCAATGTAAGATAAACTTACACGGCGGAGTTAATCAATTGCATGCGACAAGGCTAAAAATTTATATTGAGATTAACTTAAAATTTTAAATATTTAGAATTGTTTGCATACAATGGACTATCAACTTGTTCAGTGTATTATTCTTTCATCATATCAATAAATATTAATGTTTTTGTTTTAGTAGAAAATGCATTCCTGTGTGTCATCTGCATTTCCTCCTGGTGGAGAGGATATCAAAGGGGGAGGAGGAGGTTTGGATTGGAACTTGGGTGTGGAGTTAACGGCTCTGTACCACTGGAGCTACAAGTCCCCATCATATCCCTAGTTCTTTCAGTTTTTCTTATTGCTATAATTTTACGAAATGAAGGCTTTAAATAATAGCATAAAGACTTTGAAACTTTCAAAACTTAATTTCATAATACCCTGATTAAAAAGACACACAGATACAGAAGAACTCAAAAGACAATAGGGGATAAAGTTACCATCTTAACATCTTTGCCAAGATATTTATACCCACGGACATCAGAGCGGCACCGTCCGAAGTAGGAGATAATTTTCTGACCAAAGTGCAAATGACCTCAACCAACCTGGATGGTAAAACAAGAATTGCCTATTACAAGACATGATAATATAGGCAAGAAAGAGGAAACACACAAGCACAAACAAAAAGGTTGCTTAATTACCGCATATTACTTTCTGTCTGCCCATTCATGCCCGTTGATTGGAAATGTGATGAGTTCCCAATGTCCATCAGAGCAAAACATACAGCCTAAATAAAATACCAATATTAAAAACTTGGTAAAGTAGAGATGGTTACAGAGATGGTAAGAAATTAAGAGAGGAGAGGGGAGAGGGGAAGGAAACAAGGCAAGGTTAGGATCAATTACAGCTAAACTATTCTCTGTCCACTCTAAACAGCACAAGAATTCAGAAGTTGGTGTTTTAACAGTGGAGGCTGATAAAATGTTATCATATTTATGGCAACCCAAGAGAAAACTATTTCAATATTCTGACTGCATCCACATTTGTTTAAAACAGCTTAATCAAGATTATTAACAAATGCTTTAAAATGCGAAGGCATTGACAAGGCCTTAGCCTTGACACGTTGAGGCATAACCCTTTGAAAACTTGAACTATAATAACAAAAATATAAAAAAAAATTACCAACTGTCATTCAACCATTAAACATATAATTCAACCAGACCATCAAACTTGAATAGGAAATCCAAACAAGCATAATCAAAAGGCAATTCCAATAAGGGAAAATCCAATTCACTCATTCTAGTCCTCTTCGTCATCATAACAACGATCACCATGCAAAGTACCACCAAGTTATTGGAGTAAAAAGGCGGTTTCTGAACCTTTTACTGTTAGTACCTTAAACTATGTCTTTTTGGGCATGTTTTATTTTGTTTTAAAGTGTCATTTTATCCCAAAAGTCGTAAACCTTAACGAAAAGTGTATGCCTCAGCCAATTAGCATATGCCAAATCGAATAAATGCTAAAAAAGGATGAAAACCATAAAGACTCCAGCAATTAATGATGAAAACCATACTGTCACAGCCCGTCCCGGGATTTTATTTATCGAGAACGTGAAATGACGGGATTACCCTTGATGGTTACTAAGGTATGTGTGTGTGACCTATTAATTGGACTAATTACACATATTCCATAAGCTTTTGGAAAATTATTTAAGTTAGATTAAAATTTGGGTTGTAAATTTGTGTGGTTAGGGAATGAAGTAGTGATTTGTTTTTGAGTGGACCACACAACACACACACGGGACAACCCTCTCCTTTCCCCCGTGCTCTCTCTCTCTCCTCTCCGTTTCAGTCTCACTCTCTCCCTCTCGAACTGTACGGACCAAAGCACAAAACCCTCAAAACGTCGCGGATCGATGCCAAAAAGGTAAGGTTCTTCATCCTTTCGACCTCCTGAGTTGAATGGTACCATTTTTAGAACGTAGAACCCTCGAAATCACGTTGAAAACCCGAGGTCCGATTTGAGTACTGTTCATGCATTCGTGATGTGTTGATTTTCAGGGAATTCTAAGCTTATAGTGAGCTTAGTGAGGTCCTAAGGAAGCTCGGAGTACTTAGTTTGAAGGTTTTGGACGTCGGGATCGTTGAGTTCGAAGCTGGCCGGTTTTCTTGGAATTTCTCCGATGAGATTTCATAGTTTTTAGAGCCTTAAAGTAGTGTAACGTGAATCTACATGCTTAGGGCTTCATTTTGATATAAAATACGTGAAAATTTGTTGAGAAATGGCGGAAAACAAGGAGATTGAAAAATCTCCAGATTTCCGGCCACCGAAAAAACCAGTCCGGCGAGCCCAAGGTAGGAGACGCGCGTGGGGGCGCGTAGACCCGTGCCCATGCAGGCGCGTGGGGGCGTGTGCAGCCTCAGAATTTTTTTCTAAAAATACCTCGACGTTCGTGACGTCGAGTAGGTCACTGTGGTATATTCATATACCCAAATTGAGCACGGTATGAGAAGTTATTACGAATTGTCGGTTATGTGCTTTAATTAACGTTTTTATAGTTGTTTCGCATATAGGTGATACCTATCCCGAGGACGAGCGCATCCAGGGACGTCACGGGGGTTATGACCCTTCGACTTATCAGTGAGTGGGCAATATTTCTGTTTATACCTATATACTATTGATATTTTTCCCAGAAATTGAGTTTAAATGAAAATACGTTTTAAAATGCCATGCATGCATATTATGAAATATATGAATTGATAATTGATGCATATATATATATATATATATATATATGTGTGTGTGTGTGTGAATTGGTGTTGTGGACGCACAGGTAAGTATCAGGTGAGTTTTATGTTATTCATGTGAATCATTGATGATGTGAATCGTGTTGAGAGCTCATAACCTGCACCTTTGGTGTTAGTGCTTATATTATTCACCGCACCGCATGCTCACCTTGGATCCAAGTAGGAGCATGTCGTACAGACCATGAAAGGGTTCCGACATGCTAGTCGTATAGATCACTAGAGGTGGTTCCGACTGGTAGGTGATCTTAGATTATGCACGCAGATGATTGATGAGAGTAGCACTAGAGCGTATTAGTACACCATTCTTGTCGTACAGACTACTTCAGGTAGTTCCGATTTATGTGCAAAGTAGTGCCGTATAGGTCACCGTGGTGACTCCGGTTGGTTTGGGATAATGAGCTATGGAATTAACCGTACAGGACCAACTGCAGGGTCTCCGGTTGATTCATTATGTCATCTGTGATATCGATGCATCCATATTCTATTATTGACATTTATAGCATGGCATATTTTCTGGATTTGATAAAGATTGATGATTTGAGATATATGAGGATTTATATACTATTATGTTATTTTCTGGGAAAGTATACAGGTTTTACAGTGAGGGGTTAGAATTGTTTTGAGGAAATGTTTTCGAAAAGCCTTGGTTTTACTGACCCACTCAATTTTGTTTTGCGCCCCTCCAGGTTCTAGTTAGCAGTTGGTGGCTCACGAGGTTTTCTTCGGCGTTCTGACAGACTTTCTGCATGTAGGACTCACCTGCGGGTGTTGTAATTTAATTATAGTCCTACTTGACTGCACCTAGTATTTATGCTCTGAACTTGTGTACTGCACACTTAAACTCACTCTAGCATGTTAGTTGGATATTATTGCTAGTAGTTGGTTTTTTATTCCTTCGTATTTCTCATATCTTTTGTTTCCGCATCGCACTTTTGGTTACGTCACGCTCACGTGACGGCCAGCACGCCTTGATTCTAGGATCGGGGTGTGTCAGTTTGGTATCAGAGCCTAGGTTGCAGTCCTGTATAAATTGTTAATGTTCTAATGATCTTTTGGTGTTTTCTGTCAGAACTATGCAGCCTCGTAGGTAAGCACGTCGTGCTGCTGAGTCTAATTTCCCTGATATAACTCAATTAGGGGAAGCGATGGCCCATGCCTTCCAGAATGCAATCCATCCTCCTCCTCCTCCTCCTTAGAGAACACCCCTGGAGACTATGTACAACATGAAATTGGACCGTTTCATGGGTAATGAGGGTCATAAAGGGGCAGAAAAGTGGTTAGACCATATTGAGAAGACTTTCCAGGTGATGCAGAGTCAAGGGAATATTCCTGCTAATAGATGGGTGGAGACCACTACTTGATTTTTAGGACGAGAGCCAGCAACTTGGTGGGTTAATCAGACTAAGTTTATGTCACCTGAGATGGCAGCTGACTGGGAAGTATTCAAAGAGCATTTTATGAAAAGATTTGTTCCTCCGGAGTACATTGATCGTAAGAAGCAGGAGTTTACTCATCTGAAGCAAAAGGATATGTCGGCGCATGAGTATTACAGGAAATTTACCGATTTGTCTCGTTATGATCCTGATACAGCTAGTAATCAGGCAAAGATGCTTCGCCGTTTTAAGCTGGGAACTAAAAAGAAATGGCGGACTTTTGCTAGTGCACTTCCTTGCACCGATTATCATGAGTTTTCTGAGATTTTGGTTCGGATGGAGGATTCCGACAACCTTCCTAGTAACAGTGAGGATGATGAAGATAAGAATGCTAATCAGAAGAAAGAGGATAGGGGTAAAGGTATCTCCACTCAGGGACCCCGTAAGACACATAATTTCAAGAGAAGTGGAGCGAGCTCGAGTTCTTCCAGTGGAGGATTTAGTGTCACAGGCCCGAGGAGAAGTGGAAGATTTGCTGGTGGACCCAGGTTTCAGAGACAGAGAGATTTTGGTGGTACTGGTGGTTCTGGTGCTCCGTTGTGCCGCCGTTGTAATTTCAGACATCATGGAGAGTGTAGGAGAAGTGGTGGTGCTTGCTACACTTGTGGACATATGGGTCATAGGGTTGCCCAGTGTCCCCAAAGTCAGCAGAGATCTCAGCAGTCTACTATGCCACCTCCAGCGCCGATTCAGCAGAACTTTGGATCAGGCAGTTATGGTCAGACGGGTCGTGGTGGGGCTTACCACTACCAGGGTGATATTGCTCCCTATGCTCCCGGACAGTATCAGTATTCCCAGGATCCTTATTCTCAGACTGGGTATTCCCAAGACCCTGGAGGTTATACTTCTTATTCTTCCATGCCAACTAGTGGATCTCAGTGGCATCAGGGAGGTCAGCCCCGACAGGGAGAGGTTGCTACTAGCAGCGCAGGACCGCCTAGGCAGTCTAGCCAGTCAGGACAGGGACATACTTCTCAGGGGCGAGGTAACCAAGGCAACAAAGGTCGTGGTGGACGACAGTAAGCTCAGGGACGTGTTAATCACATCTCACTGCAAGATGCTCAGAATCATCCGGACTTGATTATGGGTATGTTAAATATCCTTGGTCACTTTGCTAGAGTTTTGATTGATTGTGGTGCTACACATTCTGTGATTTCTCATACGTTTGCTCAAATGACTCAACCTCACCCTACACCTCTAGGATTTGATTTAGAGTTTGCTATGCCTAGAGGGGACAAATGTTACGTTGATAGTGTTTACCCAGGGTGTCCAGTGATGGTAGATGGTGTAGTTATGCCAGCTAATCTTATCCCGTTAGATATTGTGGATTTTGATGTGATTTTAGGGGCAGATTGGTTGCATTATAATCGTGCCCATATAGATTGTTACGGGAAATCTGTTACTTTTCATCGTCCTGGATTACTAGAGGTTACTTTTGTAGGTGAAAGCAGTGGGGTGAGACATGGTGTTATCTCTGCCATGAGAGCAAAGAAGTTATCGAAAGGTTGTCAAGGATACTTAGCACATGTGGTGTTAAATGATGTTGT